ACCACATAATCAGAAGTCTACAAAGCAGAAGTGGACTGAGATTTCTCAAATTGTATTTAAGAAAATGAAATTATGTAAAAACTCACTGAAAATGAAGTAAACTAGAAATATTATTTTAAAAAAGATATCATAGCAACATTATTTCCTTTTACTTGCATTGCTCAAGCAATTGTACATGATGACTCTTGTATCAGCAATATGGTCAAGGTTTCGTCCAAAATATTGAACATACCCTCTCAAATAGGGCTTACAGGGTTATTATGATTAGTTAACCAATTCTGTATGGTTCGATATCCATAAAGAATGTACTGTTGGCTCCAACCTTTTTAGTTTAGTTTAGACTGAAGATTAAAGTTTGGGATAAAACCTAGACTAGATACAAACAGTTCTGGCATTTACGTTGAAAGGGTAGCTATTGGTTATTACTAATGTGTTGATGTCTTTTAAACTTTATAAAACACAAATGTTGTAGAGATCTCTGTATTTTTTTTCTGGACACCTCCTCTACACTAAATATATGCTTTATACCAAATATCCAAAGGTTCATGAGAAGGTAAGATTCTCTTTAGTCTACTAGTACCACAAACCTAGACATAATAAGCTGAGTATTATAACAATGAATTTCTTTATCCCCTTAGTAAACACTAGGCTTGGGCGGTTTCGTTCGTTAATTTTGTAATTCGTTATTAATTCGTATTTAAATTAGCTTACGATCCAATATTGAGCCATGCAGGACTACTGTGAGGAGTAATTAAAAATCGAAACAATTTTCCTAATTTATTTCGTATTGTTTCGTAATTATTTCCGTATGTCTGGTGCAAGTTTTATAGTTGTTGTTTGTTTTATCAGTGATAAAAATAAATAATTTATTTATTATTTATTTATTACTGTGCTTATATACCGCCGTTTCTCAGCCTAAATCGGCGACTCAACGCGGTTTACAACACAACGACAAGCAGCAATATTCCATTAAAAAGCATAAAAACACATACACAATACACAATATTATTGGGCCACCAATAATATCCAATGCATCTCTTAATTGTAGTCGCAATCCAATTTCGTCGTCTGTGATTAACCAATCCTTGTTCATCAGTTTCGTTGCACCAGATTAATCGAATGCTTGTTTAAACATCCATGTCTTCAACCTTTTTCGAAATACCATCAGCGAAGGGGCTGATCTCACCTCTATGGGGAGGGCATTCCAAAGCCGAGGGGCCACCACAGAAAAGGCCCTGTCTCTCGTTCCCGCCAGCCGCACCTGTGAAGCAGGCGGGATAGAGAGCAGGGCCTCCCCAGAAGATCTTAGGGTCCTGGTGGGCTGATAGGCCGAGATACGTTCGGATAGGTAAGTTGGGCCAGAACCGTTTAGGGCTTTAAAGGCCAGCGCCAGCACTTTGAATTGGGCCCGGTAGCAAATCGGCAGCCAATGGAGCTGGTACAGCAGAGGAGTTGTATGCTCCCTGCGCCCTGCTCCTGTTAGTAACATGGCTGCCGCCCGTTGGACTAATTGGAGCTTCCGAGCCGTCTTCAAAGGCAACCCCACGTAGAGAGCGTTGCAGTAGTCAAGACGGGATGTAACCAGAGCATGGACTACCGTGGCCAAGTCAGACTTCCCAAGGTACGGTCGCAGTTGGCGCACAAGTTTTAACTGTTTAAATTATCACACCAACAGTCAACAACAGAGGGAGAGGGAAGCTGTTGTGCCACTGCAGCCAACTCAGGTGTTATAAAAGCGGTCCCGTTGTCATTAGCAAAAATCAACTCAGCTTGGTTGGAAATCATTTCTCATTGGCTCCAGCACATGTCTGTTGGAGTGATTGGAGCTACTGGCACTGGCATGCATATTTACTGGGGCAGCAAGATGTCCTGCTGCCTGAAGCAAAGAACAAGGAGTTGTGTCTCCTTCAGAACACTACAGAAGGCAGCGATGAGGCATGAATAAGCTCGATCTTCTGGCAGATGGGAATGACTGCTGCTACTGCCCCCTGGTGGCACAGCAGGTTAAACCGCTGAGATGCTGAACTTGCTGACTGAAAGGTTGGTGGTTCGAATACGGGGAGTGGGCTGAGCTCCCACTGTTAGACCCAGCTTCTGCCAACCTAGTCATTCAAAAATATGCAAATGTGAGTACATCAATAGACACCACCTTGATGGGAAAGTAATGGTACTCCATGCAGTCATGGTGGTCCTTTGACCTAGGAGGCGACTACGTGGATCTTCAGCTTAGAAATGGAAATGAACACAACCTCCCAGAGTCTGACATGACTAGACTTAATATCAAAATCTTTACCTTTACTGGGGCAATAACCTCACTCTGCCTAATAGTAGCATGTTACTTACAAAGACTTGGGAAGAAAAGGCTGACTTTGAATGAAATACTCATAATGCCTGAATCAGGAATCCCTCGACTCCTCCAGAGACCCCATACTGTCATTTTTCTGTCCTCCCCCTCAAAGTGAATAGCTCCTGCTGAAATCCTCAGGGAATGGTAACCTGCCTTTGAAAAAAGAGGCAATCCCACTCCCCCATATTGTGTGAATATTTAAATGTACTATACCTATTCACATACTGTGGTAATCTTCATTTTTAAAAAATCATTTTTTTTTCAAAACAGGAGTGGGTTTAGGGAGGGACATTTTGGACAGCTTGTATGGCCCCCAGGGGAGAACATTTCTGCCTGTTCCCATCTAGAAGCACACACTGCATGCCCAAATGAGTAATAGCCAATGCTGAGTAGAAGTGAAGTTAACAGACTGTGGAACCACTCTGTCACTGGTTCTTTACAATTCAGATGTTGGGAGACAACTATGGGATATGAGAACGCCAAGGAGGGATTGTTACGACCAACAAAAATCTCATAATAGCTGGATTAATTGAATTAATCTTCAAAAGAGAACATGCTTCCCCCATCTTTGTTATTCTCATGAAGAAACCTTTTTATTCAGGTGGTTTTTTGGCAAAGGATTGCTTGCTAAGGCATGGTCCTTTATTATTGGGTTTTTGTGAGTTTTCTGGGCTCTATGGCCATGTTCCAGAAGCATTCTCTCCTGATGTTTTGCCTGCATCTATGGCAGGCAGCCTCAGAGGTTGTGAGGTCTGTTGGAAACCAGGAAAACGGGGTTTATATATATCTGTGGACTCTCCATGGTGGGAGAAAGAACTCTTGTCTGTTTGAGGTAGGTGTGAATGTTTCAATTAGCCACCTTGATTAGCATGTAATGGCCTAGCAGTTTCAGGATCTGACTTCTTACTGCCTGGGGGAATCCTTTGTTGGGAGGTGATTAACTCCCCACAACCTCTGAGGATGCCTGCCATAGAGGCAGGTGAAATGCCAGGAGAGAATGCTTCGGGAACATGGCTATACAGTCTGGAAAACTCACAGCAACCCAGGGATTCTGGGCCATGAAAGCCTTCAACAATATATTGTCCTTCATTAGGTTGGTGCTCTAATAATTTTAAGGTGCTTTCTGTTCTAATGTGTTTCAATAATATAACTGGTTTCATTGTATTTTAATACTGTAGCTTCAATGTTTTTATCTTTACCCTCTTTACCCTCTGGGTTATATTATTAAGAGTTATATAACAGTGAATTCTGGCAGAAAAAAAGGTAAATAAAGTTAATAACTAAATTATACATATTTAATTCTTTCCAGTATTGCTGAACACAAGGCTCACACAGCAATGGGATTTAAGTGTCTGCTAAGTACAAGTGCAGATCCAATCCAATGATATTTTCCCAGAGAACTGGTGACAGTTTGAAAGTGAGATCTCTGTTTACAGGCTTTGTTGCCTCATAAGCTTGCAAGGTCTGCTTGGCAACATTGAGACTAAAATCAGACAAAGTAAACTGTCATTAATTGTACATTGCTGTATTTATCTAAACCAGGCATGGGCAAACTTGGGCTCTCCAGGTGTTTTGGACTTCAACTCCCAGAATTCCTAACAGTCTCAGGCCCTTTCCTTTCCCCCCTCAGCTGCTTAAGTGGCCTGCGGCTGTTAGTAATGGTGGGAGTTGCTTATCTTGTTTTGTAATCTGAACTGTATTGTTTTATTCCATGATATTATTATGAGCCACTTTGCATCTCATCATTTGGAAAAAGAATATAAACTCAACAACTAGATAGCTAAATAAAACATATATGAGTGAAGAATATGCAAAGAGATAGGCAGAAAGGAGAAGGGTACAATTTACCCTTGATAAGGAGTATGTCCCATGGAAATTAGTGAGACTTACTTTTGAGCAAGCATTCATAGGATTGCATGAAGAGGAAGAAGAGCGAGTAAATGGAGTATAATGTGTCCAAGCTTCATTTTATAAAAGGGGCAAAATAATGCTGTGCTCTAAAAATATGGATCGTCAATATAATTTTCACACATTTATTATTATTATTATTATTATTATTATTATTATTATTATTATTATTATTATTTCACAGTTTTCTATACCGAGCTTCTCAACCTCATTGAGGGACTCAGCCCGGTTTCCAGCCATAAAAACATATACACTCATTAAAATATCATATATCACAATTACAAAAACAACTTTATAAACACTATATATAAAACTACAGTGGTCAGTCGTCCTATTAAGATGGATCTACCTCAACTTCCATCCAGGGTCCTATGGTGTTGTCTCATTCATTGAAGGCCTGACTCCACAGCCACGTCTTCACGTCATGCATAATAGTGTGGGATCTTATTATTATTATCATATCTCTCATGTAAATAGACATTCCTGTTTGGTATATGAAAACAGTGTTTTTTAGCAATTGCTTTCATTTTTATTGGGAATACAGAGTGTTTGAAAATATTGGTGATGCTAAATTTAAGTCCCACAGGCCTTATGCTCCCATTTTTTAAAAAAATTCAAAAGCATGTCACCTTGCAAAACTCAATGCCCTTCAGTTTAACACATTTCAAGGAAATTCTGATTGTCAGTTGCTGTTGGCTGTAGTTCACTATAGAAAATATTTTTGGAATCTTCCTGTGCTTTACAGATTGGATCACTTGAAAATCATTATCTGTTCAGACATCAAAGCCATAGAAGAAGATCTCGAAGAAGCGCTATTCTCCTCACAAAAAGGCTGTCGGATGACCATCGAGTAAGTATTATCATTGCACTATCCATAGTCTGTAGCACTAATCATGGCCAAAATCTTCTATCAAGGTGCATGTTATATAACTTTATGTATACATAACTATTTAATAGAGGAGCCCTGTCAGTGAATTGCAACAATGCATAATGGGACAAGGGTGTTGTCATGCATATCAACACTTCCTAGTCGGGATCAATGAGCAAGGGGACTCCTGTGTATAAGTATCAGTATGTATCAGTCACGTTGCTGAATTCCCTTAAACTTAAGTCTATTCATGCTATGACTATTCAGGATTCCAGCCCACATTTCTAAGGGAAGAAATCCAGTGAGCACAGAAGGACTTACTTGTACTGTGTGCCATCCCACTCAATGGCTGATTCACATGTCACATATGAATATTGTTCAGTCCTCCGTCATATTAAACATTGTGTTTGAGGGAAGAATTTCTTTAGCCTGGATTTTTTTAATACATTTATATTCTACCTTTGCTTGAGGCACTCAAGCTATATATGGAACTCATATCCTAGTTGAATGGTAAATGGTGATAACTGACCCAGAATTACCCAGTGTGCTTCGTAACATGGACGGATTTGAATCTTCCCAATCCTAGTCCACACTGGAATATTTTATTGGAATAGTGGTATATAAGTAGCAAATATTTTATTATAGAGCTATTGGAAGCAAATGTTGGACTGCAACTCCAAACTGTTCTAGCCAGTGAAGCCAATGGTGAGAAATGCTGGAAGCTTTAATAGTATACTAGGAGTTCCAGATTCAAATCTCCATTCAGCTGTGGAAATCCATTGGGTGACATTGCACAAGTCACAGTCTCTTAGGACAGCGGTCCCCAGCCTGTGGTCTGTGGACCACTAGTGGTCCTCAAGAATGAAAACATGGTCCGTGGCCTCACCATTACTACACTGCTGCCTCGAAACAACATGGGAAAAAGAGTGACTGGTCTCGCAAAACCCTCTTATAGTGCGGAGGCAATGGGGACGTCAGGAAGGTAGAGGCTGGCTACCCCCAAAAGATTACTACTACCACATCAGCTCTAGATTATTAAATATGATTTTCTGCGGGTGAGCAAATGGTGACTACTGGGTGGCATATGTTCTGTATCAGAAACTAGAGCTGATGTGGTCTATCCAATGCAATTTTCTTAATCAACACGCCAAATAAACAAACCAAATCTAAAACTGAACAAAAACTGATTCGTAACCCTTTTGGTACTAATGTTAGAGAGTTATTCCTGGTCAAGTAGTCCTTGATCAAAAAAAGGTTGGGAACCACTGTCTTAGGGGAAGGCAAAAAAAGTTCAGCTGAGTAAATTTTGCCAAGAAAATCCTGTGATATTTCATCATGTCAGAAATGTTTTGAAGGCATACAACAAATTCCAGCGCATGCTTTCAAATAGATGACATTCCTCCACCTTACTTTATGATATCCGATATCACATTGATTCTTGTATCATTAACTGGTTTGTATTTAAACTGTGAGTATCTTGGTTTTTCATGACTCTTGGATAAAAGAAATCTCATTAGTATCCTGGACAAAATCCAATATTAACCCCATATGGAGCAGATTTTTGAAAGAAACAAGACTCAAGTTAGCTATGACTAACAAGTCTCATTCATTTCAAAGTGTCTGTTGCTTTTTTAAGGAACCCGTTTCTTAAGACTTGAAATCAGAAATCTTACTATATCTTACTAAATCGTAATATATCTTGGATCTGAAATTAGATACAATGACCAGAATCCTGTTGATTATATATTCAGTCATAGGTCTTGCTATGGTTTTTTTTGGACAAAGAGGTATGAATATATCCACCCAGTTGGTGATCAGGGGTTAGGTTTTGTTGTGAAGCTATGCAGGTACACAATAATGCATCTGGAGCAGTGCGTCCATTTCACTAGGCATTAATAATTGTGCAATGAGGCCACAGCTATGTACATTCAACATTTTTTATATGATGTATATTCAGTAAAAATATTGTGTATTGCTAGCATAGCATAATGCTTCCAGAGGATATTTCTGCTACACTGAGATGATGTAGGATCTCTGATAAAATCCCCTAACATGAAATAATTACTTGAAATTTATATCAAGAAACAATTCGGCATTTTAAAAATGTTGTCAGTGACATTTAAAAGATAAGATTCCACTTGCTTGCAGATGACATTTATTATTCAAATTAGTACTTAACAGAATGAGCTGTAATTTGGAAATGTGAAAGTTAACAAACATTTCTGCAATTCTCTCCACTTGAACAATAGCCCCTGTTTTGGAAGACTAAAGACTAACTCATCATGAGCCTACTTCAAATGGCAGAAAAAGTATGGATATGAAAAGAAAACATTGTCACAGCTGATAATTGGTTATATAAAGACAAAAATGCAATTGGAAAAAAATATTAATTGATAGTCATTTCAGTATGACAACAAATAAATTAATAATACACATTAAATTTTCAACAGAGAACCACTATGCTTAAAATATCTTGGACATGTATGAAGTAAAATGTGCATCCCAAAATTACAGATAACTGCTGACACCTAGCATTTATCAGAATAATGAACTGATATACATGAGGGCTCCGTTCTCTACCTTTTTGGTATATTTAGTGCATTTTAGTTAAAATTTAATATACTTTTACACAATATGTGTGGAGTGTGATATTAAAGAATTTTGACTTTAGATGCCTGCTAAAATAAGGATGGGTCTTTGGCTCTGGCTATGATCTTTGAAAATAGAATTACAGTACTGCTAATATAAAAACATATATCAGAATATAAATCAGAACATATGTTTCCTGCAGAGAAGTATGAATAGATATCTTATGGCAAGGTTTTAGCTCCCTGTTTAATCATAGCTGGAAGAAGAGAAGAACAGATGGTTTCGACTTGAATTTCAACTGAATTCAATTTGAGAAAATAGCATCAAATTATATGAATTCCCCTGGGATTTTCTTCCCTTATCCGGAAGACAATCATACTCGGCCTTCAGTGATAGCCAATGATGATGATGATGATGTTGATGATGATAGAAGTAGATATGCCTTTGAGAGCCCGTATGTTTGCTGTGGTTTGAGCATTGTCCTATAGATGGATCTGTGGTGATCACTTGTCCTAGAGCCAGTTCAGAGAGGTGAATGTTGGATCCACCCTGGGATAGTTTGGACCACCACCTCCCCTACACCACTGTAGAGGTGGGATAGAGTCAAGATGTCTGCCCTGATTGTCCTGTCATTGTTTTCCTTGTTGCAGAGACCAGTGGGTGCAACCTGATTCATATCTGTTGCTTATTACCTGGAAGGAGGTTATCTGGGGAGTGCAAGAGTAACACATGAGGGAGAAGAAAGAGAAGAAGGATAATAATAATACTGATACACTTTATTTATATTCTGCTTTATCTCCCTGGGAGCACTCAGAGCAAATTACAACATACACAGATAGGCAAACATTCAATGGCTTAATACAGTGGAATAACACTGTACACAGAACACAAGTACACAGAACAAAGGCAAATGCTTCCCTTTTCATCTCTGGTTTTCTGGAGGTGATGCTCAACTCTGGCCATGAGGAGGTACTCTTGTTCCATTTCCAGCCTGTTGTCCATAGTCACCACCTGGTTGTGTTGTTGACATGGCTGCATGAGAGCCTTTATTATCTTCCTGCCAAAGTGGTACTTATCGATCTACTCCCATTTGCATGTTTTCAAACTGCTAGGTTGGCAGGAGCTAGGGCTAAAAGCAGGAGCTCACCCTGACCCGACTTCAAAACGCCAACCTTTAGGTCAGCAGATTCAACAGTTCAATGGTTTAACTCATTGTGCCACCCCCTTCCGCACCCCACTTGCTTCTCCAATTGCCTCATCACTCCAGCCAGCCTCACTCCAGCCAGCATCACTGATCACTGCAATGAGGAGATCAAAGGGTGCGGGGATGGTGAATGTTTTAACCTTTTCTGCTATTAATCTCAGGAGGGAATATTGTCAGGCCTGATCTCAAATTTTCTCCCTAGCCTCCCTATGCAACCACTACTTTTTAAAGACATAAGTACTCTTGTAAGCTCTTTGAGGAAGATATTATTCTGGAGGTGATATGTACAAATAATAATAATAAATAAAAATAATCTATATCTCTAGTCGGTCAGAAGCACCATATTTCCTGACATGTTTGAATGGCAAACCTTGCCCTTTTTAAAAATTAACATTTACACTTTTAGTTAAAAGATCCAGAGTTTTAGGAAGTGCTTTCATTTTCCAAAGTAAAAACAAGAACCAAGTCACAAAAATAATCCAGCAATATAAAACATTTTGCCCTTAAACAGGATGTGTCAAATATACCCATAAACTAGCATATTAAATTAATAGGTGTGCAACCCCACTGTCTTTTATGTGCTTATTCTATTATTAGTTATGACCTAGTAGTAACAGTTTTCATAATGTGAATAGTCTGCTGTCAGATGCTTAGTGCTGTCATGTGAAGGAACATATGGGCTGTGAATAACAATTGTTTTCTTGTTCAAATGCTAAATACTAAGCTGACACTCTAAAAATGAAGGAAAGACAAGTAAAAAAAAGTACCTATTTAAATGAGTCCTCTTCTGCAGAAAATATAATTTCTCTATGGCCAATTAAAGACAGGTTAAAGGTACATACGTTTATCTCAGCAATGCATGAGACACACCTCAGTAGTTAAATTCAATGAGTAGCCCTAAATTGCTCGTCCTCTAGAGCAGCCTCCCCCCTTGGGTCCTTCTGGATGTTTTGGACTGAAGTTCCTATTGATGCAGTCAGCATTATCAGACATGACAGACGTAGCATGACAAAGGTCAATGTAATAAATAAGATTTGGGCATAATAACTAAAATAAGCACACTGTTTGGTTTGTTTCCGTGCTTACTTCAGACACTTCTTTTTCAGGTTTCTTGGGCAGAACAGCAGTATGGAAAAAAACGAAGTAAACGTTCAGTATTCAAAGGCTCAGCAGAAAATCTTTTCAATGACCCGATGTGGAATCAACAATGGTATCTGGTAAGAATTTTCATTTACATACCAAATTTTAATGGCCCCCTGGCGGCGCAGTGGGTTAAACCACTGAGCTGCTGAACTTGCTGACCAAAAGGTTGGGGGTTCAAATCCTGCTGTTAGACCCAGCTTCTGCAAACCTAGCACTTTGAAAACATGCAAATCTGAGTAGATCAATAGGTACCACTTCTGCAGGAAGGTAACGGCACTCCATGCAGTCATACTGGAGGTATCTACTGAGATGTCTATGGACAATGCCGACTCTTCGGCTTAGAAATGGAGATGAGCACCACTTCTCAGAGTCAGACGCGGCTAGACTTAATGTCAGGGGAAACCTTTACCTTTACCTTACCAAATTTAAAAGTCATAAGAAATGCTATTTCAGCATTGTTTCCAAAATTGTACATGGAATACACTAAAATTACATGGAATTATTATAAGGTTTTACAACTCTTAATAAATGATGCTAGTTTCCTATAGTAAAAATGAACATTATATTATACAAGAACTTTTGGAAAGTGTATTCAGGTTTTGAGATGGAAAATATTCACTCTTACAATTTTTCTGGACTGGTCTAAAAGTGTGACCTCTTGTGCATAGCTGGGTTTTATTGAGATTTCTTGGTTGTCACTTCTGTCCCATTCTTTTGTAGTGGTTTCCTGGATCTCTACTAGAGTTTTCCAAAACTTTTTAAATAGAGAGGCGATTTGATGAGCTTTTTTTTTTCGTGTCAGGAGCAACTTGAAAAACTGCAAGTTGGTTGTGTGAATAAAAAAAAATGTATTCTCTTTTCTTTTTTCCTAGCAAGACACAAGAATGACTCAATCTCTGCCCAAATTGGATCTCCATGTTCTTCCAGTGTGGCAAAAGGGGATTACTGGCAAAGGGGTTGTCATAACAGTGCTTGATGATGGTTTGGAGTGGAATCACACAGATATTTATTCTAACTATGTGAGTTTAATACTTTAACAGCAGTGATCACCGACCATTGATTTCCAGGGCTTGTTCAGCAGTATCTCTCAATGGCATTCAAGTTACTATCCATCAGCATCATCTACTTGTCTGGGATATAGTGAGGATAAATATGAGATAAGCCCATGATGCTCTCATCATTAAGAGACTTTAAACATGAGTATAAACTCCGTGGACATCTGAAAATGTGGATAATATTGACTTCTATATTTTGTTGATACTTGAGGGAGAATCATACCATCGAACAGCACTGGAGGAACTAGGGAAACCAACGAACACTTCCATGTGTGGGCTTCTCTTGGGCCTCCAGTGCTATTCGGCAGGATGCTTGGACATACATTGGACTGGAGGAACTAGAGTGACCAGTATACACTTCTGGGGGAAATATTTTTTGGAGTGTGGATAAATGGAACCATGGATATTGAATCTCTGAGATAGAGAACCATACTGTATGTGTTTAAACGTTTTAGATATTTTTAGAAAAGTGTGTTGTTTCTAGGGGGGATTAATGCAAGCTATTAGCAATGTATATTATAATTAATATAACTACATTCATGAAGGATACGTTTATAAATGGTGGCTAATTACAATACTTACCGATTAACTCTAGGATCAAAGTCTACTGTATTCATTTCCTTTTCATGGGCTTCCTGTAGGCAATTATGAGGGCTTAATGTGGACACAGGATGCCAACGAGAATTGCTTTTTGCTGTGCTCTTCTAATGTTCTTACATTATGTGCTACTCCATTACTTCAACATTTCGATTTGGAATATATTTTTATCCAATTTCCTCTTTTTCTTTTCTTTGTCTCATTCAAGGATCCAGAGGCAAGTTATGATTTCAATGACAATGATGAGGATCCCTTTCCTAGATATGATCCAACAAATGAAAACAAGTGAGTAAAGATCAACCCAATGAACTTCTGATACCAATGACTATGTCATCCTTGCATGTTTAGCCATCCCAACATGCTGTATGGTACTTATTCTGTGGACAAAAACATGTGTGGTGTGTGTCTGTGTGTGTGTGTATGTGCATGTTCAAACACAGAAAGCAGTATTTACTGCAGGGAGAGCCCATTTTCTTCATAGAAACATTTTTTCATGCAAAACAACCACAAAGTGGTTTTCTTTGCAAAATAATTCTTGCTAAACATTGTTAGATACTGAATATCAAGAAGGAACTTTACAAATTTCTCTCTGTTCTCTTCTTCCTGATGGAGTTTCCTTCCTGTAAGGAACCCATCTTCAATCTGGCAATGAGGAATTACAAAATTCCTTCCATCCCTATTGGTGGCTGGTGGTTTCCAGATGTCAGTGATGGCAAATCTTCAGAAAGCTACATCTCTGGATATCCCAAATGTTAGGATTGTTAAGATGTCTGCAAATCGCCAAGCTTCCCAGTTTATGAGCATGTTGGCATAGAGATTCAGGGGGAAAATTGTCCAATGAGCTATATCACTTCGGAAATTAAGATCGTTGGGGGAGGCCCTGCTCTTGGTCTCACCTCCTTCGCAGGTACATTTGATGGGGACTAAAGCCAGGGCCTTCTCAGTGGTGGCACCTCATCTATGGAACTCCCTCTCCAGTGAAATAAGATTGGCCTCCTCCCTCCTGACCTTCAGGAAAAAATGAAAAACATGGTTGTGAAACCAAGCTTTTGACCAGTAACTCTGAGCAGTGTAATAAGTGACTATGAAACTAATACAATGATTATCTACTGACCCACCACCTAGTCATGACTGGGGTTAGGGGGATACCCCTTAAGTGGGTGTCCTGCTTCCTCCAGAATCGGGGACAGCGTGTGGTGAGGGGAGGGAGGGTTTCCAAGAGGTCTCCGCTAATATGCGGGGCCCCGCAGGGAGCTATCCTCTCTCCTCTGTTGTTTAACATCTATATGCGACCGCTTGCCCGACTGGTGCGAAGCTTTGGGCTTGAGTGCCACCAGTATGCTGATGACACTCAGCTCATTCTGAGGATGGAAGGCCGGCCAGACTCTGTACCCGAAAATTTCCATCAGTGCCTTGAGGCCGTTACTGGATGGTTGCATGCAAGCAGGTTGAGGGTGAATCCAGCGAAGACGGAGATCCTTTGGCTGGGCCGTCTGGGTGGGAGGGAGATCCAGCTGCCTACTCTGGATGGCGAGACACTACGTCCGTCATCTTCTGTAAAGAGCCTTGGTGTCTTATTGGACTCACTGTTCACAATGGAGGCCCAAGTCTCTGCTGTGAGCAGATCTGCATTTTTCCATCTACGTCAGGCTAGGTGACTGGCTCCCTACCTATCTAGGAACGACCTGGCTACGGTGATCCAGGTGATGGTCATCTCAAGGCTTGACTACTGTAATGGCCTCTACATTGGCCTTCCTTGTTAGTGATCCGGAAACTGAAGTTGGTGCAAAATGCGGCGGCTCGTCTTCTTGCCGGGGTGCCAGCGAGGTGTTGTATCACCCCAATTCTCCAACAGCTGCACTGGCTACCGATTGAGTACCGGATTACTTTCAAGATGCTGGTATTAACCTTTAAGGCCTTACATGGTCTGGGGCCGGCGTACTTAAGGCCCCACTTATTCCCCTACCAACCCCAGATAGATATATATTGACCTTAAACCTGGAGGAAAGAACCAAGAAAGCGATCTTTCAGCATTGTACAGCTATATGATTCTGGTTTTGTATTTAAAAAATCGCTATCGAGATATCTGCACCACAACTGTATAGCAGTTTTGTTCTATTGTGATTTTCAAGGTGTGGTTCAGCAGGCAGGGGATTTGATATAGCCCACAGAATTCTCAGTAGAGAGCCTGAGTCATCTCAGAATACATTTGCTGGAAAGAGGAAATCACTATTTAAGTAGCTAAAGGATACAATTTTATGAACACTTACTTGGAATCCTTCCACACTGCACAATGAGAGCAGTATGATTCCACTTTAACTGCCATGACTACATGTTGTGGAATCTTGGGCTTTTGTAGTTCAGTGACGCATTAGAACTCTTTGGCTCTAAATTCCAAACCATTAGTATCCATAGGATGTTGCCATGGCAGTCAAAATAGATTCATAGTCTTATAAATGTTTAGTGTGAAAGGGCAATATGCTCATTGAAATCAGAGGAGACATATGCCCGAGGAATAAGATGGCTCTATTAATCTGACGTATGTTCAATATATCTTTTTTTTTGTGAGGCCAATATTTATTTATTTATTTACAGTATTTTTATTCCGCCCTTCTCACCCCGCAGGGGACTCAGGGCGGATTACAATGTACACATACATGGCAAACATTCAATGCCATAGTACACAACACATATAGACAGACGGTGAGAGGCTATTTAACATTACAATTTTCTGGCCACCAGGGGAGCTGTCGCTTCACCGTCCATCTGTGACACTGATGAAGTACTTTCCACATTCCCCGTATGCTTTTGCTGGAGATTTTTTATGGCCTCATACATTTGTTAAATTAGCCTCCCTGCACATAGGTGGTACCTAAATTTCCTACTTGACAGATGCAACTGTCTTTCAGGTTGCAAAGGTCGACAACAAGCTACACAAATTGGCCAGAAGCTCACTCTGACCTGGGCTGTCTTTGAACTCAAGACCTTTCGGTCACTAGTGATCTTAATGCAGCTGACACCCAGCCAGCTGCGCCACTAGATTGAGAACCAATCTAGTCCTTGTGAAATGGAGATAGTCAATTCCCTTTCTGTAGCCTATCCAGTCAAACAGTCATATAGGCTTTAATAGCTCTTCTGCAAGTTGGGCCCAAGAAGGCAGAAATTAATTATTCATTTCTAAAGTAGAATATTGACCAAATAGCCCCTACAAGCCAATAAAGTTGTCATTGTTTGTAATGGCACAATAAAAAAACTTTCAACAGGGTTCACCAGTCCCTATTGGACAAAATGATGTGTAATTCATTGTACAGCTGCTGTCACAACACAAATAATAGCATCAAAGTAGAAGATTTTCAAAGGATAAATGTTTCCAGGCTTTTGAAAATTTAGCACTCTGTAAGCAGCAGCATTTATAGGCAATGGGAGACCATTGGCTCTACTTTTAAAATCTGTGGTCTCTACTTCAAATCTATTCATCATTAATATGAAAAAGGAATTCAGATTGGAAGCATTCAACAGCTCTATTACATACAAAACTGTATTTTATATTACATATAAAACTGCTAAAAAAGCTGCTTTTCACAAGGGAGCCATCTTTTTATATAGTGAAGGTGAGGGATCATAGAACACATCAATGAAAACATTTTAGCACTTAATCTGCAGTAGTAATAAAAATGAGCTATGCATTTAAATCTGTGATATCATAAGCATTACTTTAAAAAGTAGTATTTTCATAGTTTAGAAAATCAGGTTTTTTTTCTTTATAAAATCTAATTTACTATTATATTTAATTACAACATCTCTATGTTCTATGCTGACAGTAAGGTGTAATCCAAGCTTGGGCAAACTTCAGCCCTCCAGGTGTTTTGGACTTCAACTCCCACAATTCCTAATAGCCTCAGGACCCTTGCTTTCACCCCTCAGATGCTTAAGCGGCTGAGGGGCGAAAGGAAGGGGCCCGAGGTTGTTAGGAATTTTGGGAGTTGAAGTCCAAAACATCTGGAGGGCCAAAGTTTGCCCAAGCCTGATCTAATCCCTGTTGACTCCATTTGAGTTTGATAGATTTGAATGAATAATCCTGGCATTTTTAAAAAAAATTATTGTGCTTTATGTAAACAATCAAAAAGCTATGAGACCAAAAAATGTTTTAAATATCAAATTTTCAGGAAGCAGAGCATAATCATGGAATCCTTATCATATATAATAGACTAACTTGTGGTCTTTCCTATTTGTGTATAATCTGTTTGGAATTGGTGGTTTTGTTGCAGGCATGGGACACGGTGTGCAGGAGAGATTGCCATGCAAGCAAACAACTTAAAATGTGGAGTTGGAGTGGCATACAATTCCAAAGTTGGAGGTAAAAAATTGATTTAATATTTGGTTTTAGTAAAACATTTTCTCTATATAAGGATTAAAGGGGTACTGAACAAAGGGTGCATCTACACTGTAGAATAAATGCAGTTTAATACTACTTTACCTGCCAGGCTTCAATGATATGGAACAAAAGGAGCTGTGATTCTGTAGCTTTCTGTGTAGGACTTTAGGCTTCTCTGCTGATGTTTCACCAAACTATAAACCCCAGGGCTCCATTGCAGTGAGTCATGGCAAGTACATTTGTGCAATTTGGCTAGAAGGTGATTCAGTTTTGGCATCTGAATTTCGTTGGGAACCCATACCTGTTTTTCGTGATCTTCCCAAAAATTGGCTAATGGAAATATCTGTTTTTGGCTTGGCAGCCAAAAGATCCGGGAAGATCCGGCCAATTGCCGGCAATGGGAACTTACAAAGCTCTCCTTTCCATTTCCGGGATCTCTTCTTTTCTTTCTTTCAAGGGAGTCTAGGTTTGAGCAATGGGGTTAAGAAAGCACCCTTCCAGGGACTCTTTCCTTCTTTTCCTTCAAGGGAGTCTGGGTTTTAGCAACAGGGTTAAGGAAAAATTCTTCCTGGGACCCTTTTCTTTCTTCCTTTCAAGGATGTCTGGGTTTAAGGAAGCAATGCATAAGACACATCATGGATTTCTTCTATTCAGATTGGCCCAACAGGCAGGGCTCACAAGGAAAACCCACATGAGAGGAGGATCTGTGATCGGCTGCCATGTGGTCCCATTATGGACAAAAAAATGTGACGGGTGAGCCCTTACCCTTATGGCCATCCAGTCAAGCCAAACAAGCTGGATTGGCCAAAGGGAACCAACCATTCCGAATCTGTGCATAAGCCTAATGGCAAGTGATGTCAAACTTAGGCAGAAAGGGAGAGAATGTTACCGAAAGCTTTTGTGGCAATTTCATGTCATGGCTCCACATAATGGACTGGATTGCTGTTGTGATTTCTTCGAAGATTCTAATAGATTGGAATGTGTTTCTAAAACAAATGAATGTAGTTGCTTCCTTCCCATAGGGAGCAAATCTGATTGCTGAAGTGAGGTGTAATTTCCCAACATAGCAAATTCTTAATGTCATGACATTGCATGAAGTGACCAGGACATTGCTCTGCTACACAGCGTAGTAACCACTGCAATCCAGGAATGGGAGAGGAAATTTTGACTGATTTGCATCTTGACAATGAAAACATGCGGATTTTGGATTTGCTGAATAAATATGAGAACCAGAACACAGTCATCCTTAAATATCAACAGTTTTCAGAATGTTGTGTTCCAATTCTATTAGAAAGCAGCGCAATGTCGATTTTTAAAAGTAAAGAAATAAAAAAATATAGCCAAATAATAACCAACCCTGAAAGGAACCCATTGTTTACAGTGTATAACTATTAATTGATTATATCTGATTGAATAAAAGAAAATTGATTGGGGGGGGGGGTATGAGAAGTTAGAATAGTGAGAATTTTGGATTACAACTCCCATAATCTCCAGGCTATTATTGATAACAGCTGAAGTTTTGGGAAGTTGGTAATTGAAGGTGGTGGAAGAAGACCAGGAGGAAGTTTTCTAGCTCTGCATTTTTAAAAAAATACTAGAATGATTGACATGTAGCTCCAAAATCTCGTCAAGAATAATAAAGCCTGCAAAGTAAAAAAAAATCCATCCTACATTTCTACTGTGCCAGACAAATTTCCAAATGATCTGTGTTTACTTTATTTATCTTTCATTTGAGTTGCATGCCAATATTGCAAGCAGAGTCATTTCTGTCTGTGTGTTTGTCTCTGTCAAACACACATTCTCAGTGGAGAATCCTGAGAAGGATGTGATGTAGTGCTAAAGGGGACAGACCCTGTAAAAATGAATGGAAATGGGACAGCTGCCGACATCTGTGCTGACGACTCTCACATTTTAAATTATTCTGTGTTAATGAGTGTTTGCAAGCTGTTAGTTTCCAATCTGATGTAGCTATTCCCCTTTATGTTTTTGCCAAATGAAGCAATTGCATCTCAGGGTAGAGAGAGCAAGCCCCATGCCATCCTGGGTCTCAGAAGGGAAGGACATTAAATGAATATGTTGGAATATTGATTTCTCTGCCTCCTGTATTTTCCAGGCTGCTTATTCTAAAGGGCAATGCACTTCTGTTTACATGGCAACATGCAACACTTTGTGTTGCTAATATAGTGACAGCATGAAATAATTATTGCTTTCTTCCTCCCTCCCATCTCTCCACGAAGGCATAAGAATGCTGGACGGAATAGTCACTGACGCCATAGAAGCCAGTTCAATCGGTTTCAGCCCAGATCACGTGGACATTTATAGTGCCAGCTGGGGTCCAAATGATGACGGGAAAACTGTCGAAGGGCCAGGTAGATTGGCACAGAAGGCTTTTGAATATGGAATTAAAAAGGTGAGATCTTTTCAGAGTGTTACTTTGCAGCCTTTCAAAGGCTGGGGAACAGGAAAATATGAATCTTTTCCTTGATCCAAGGAAATCTGTATTCTTTGCTGGGCTGTTATTTTAGATGGATTATTTCTTTTAGAAACATGAAAGAAGCTTCAGAGATAAGTCAAAGGGAAATATCTCAAAATGTTTAGAAGTTAGAGCTTAGTGTCTTGCTGATGGACGTTCCTTCATCTTTTTAAGCATTATTTAGTCCCAAATCTCTTTTCTTGCCTTTTTCAGTTTTCCTCCTTCCATACAAGAACCGCTTGTTTTACTTTGAATATTAATGAGGTTTTATGCAGAGAGCGCCTATAAAATATTCATGCACATTTTCTTCTTCGTGAATATTGCACTTACCTTTCTTTGCAAGCCAAGATACAGAGCATTATTGCATAAGCCTGTGAATAATTCAGTTTAATTCTAATTAAGGGAAGGGGAATAAATGTTGGGAAGCACCTCCTCTGTGGACTTCTATTGGCACACCAAGCAGCTTTTCATTGGCAACATTTTATGACGCATCCACATATAGCACTGCCATACCAGCCATTTCGTCAGGGAGGGAAGAATTATAGTGTTTTGGGCTTTACATACATTTAGAGGATGTGACATTAGCAGTGACAAATAGGCTTTGGTTTCAGCATTTCAAAAGATGAAATCTTTTCCTTCAAGGCAGTAATTGACCAACCTAAAACAATGAAGAAGAAATTTGCTTGGCGTTTCAGATAGTATTGGGCTCCATCTCCCACCATCCCTCCCCTTGGGCCATACTGGCTACAGCTAATGGGAGATAAACTCTAATAACAGCTAAGAGCCTAAATCATACAATCATAGAGTCGGAAGAGACCTCATGGGCCATCTAGTCCAACCCCCTGCCAAGAAGCAGGAAAATTGCATTCAAAGCACCCCCGACAGATGGCTATCCAGCCTCTGTTTAAAAGCCTCCAAAGAAGGAGCCTCCACCACACTCCGGGGCAGAGAGTTCTGCTGCTGAACAGCTCTCACAGTCAGTTCTTCCAAATGTTCAGATGGAATCTCCTTTCTTGTAGTTTGAAGCCATTGTTCCACGTCCTACTTTCCAGGGCAGCAGAAAACAAGCTTGCTCTGCTGCTTAGTTCCGTATACTTAGCTAAAAGGCTCTGTGAATTGGCATAGAAGGCTTTTGGACATGGAATCAAAAAGCCTTGGAAATGCCGGAGAACAGTAGAATACAAACACTTTCTTTTATTTAAATCCACAAAAATCAACAATGACGATAAGAATTTTACCAAAGAACTGTCAAAGATGAATGGTAATGTATCTTTGCCTGACACTTTACAGTTACCTATGAATATTAAACCTTGTGTATATCAAGCATGCTGAGCTACAACTCTCCTTTCTCTAGCTCCATCAGCTGGCTGTTATGGAAGTTGTGTCCAACTCTGTGGCAGTTGGTGACTTCCATGTTAGTGGGGGATTTCCCAAGCTTTGTCTAGATTTAAAGGAACTATCCAAGATGCTGAACCTATTTGATTGTAGGGTTTAGTACCCTGAAGAACTAATTTAAATCTTTGGTTAAAACCTATTTATTTATTTATTTATTTACTGCATTTATTGACCGCCGCTCTCAGCCCTAGGGCGACTCGTGGCGGTGCACAACATATAAAAACAGTTTACAAAAGGGCAAAACAGGAAATCAATACAACAATAATACACTATAATCTAGTTACACTAAATAATCCGCTCCGTCACATCATAGAATCATAACCAATATCGTAATCCGTATTCCGTTCCAGTTGTCAATTACCAGTTGCCGTAGCGCTCAGTTGAATGCCTTCTCAAATAGCCAGGTCTTCAGGCTCTTACGGAAGGACAGAAGGGAGGGCGCCTGTCTGATGTCAGCAGGGAGGTCGTTCCACAGCCGGGGGGCCACCACCGAGAAGGCCCTTTCTCTCGTCCCCGCCAGACGTGCCTGTGAAGCAGGCGGGATCGAGAGAAGGGCCCCCCCAGACGATCTCAAGGTCCTCGTGGGCTCATAGGCCAAGATGCGGTCTGAAAGGTATTTTGGGCCGGAACCGTTTAGGGCTTTGTAGGATAACACCAGCACCTTAAATTGGGCCCGGTAGCAAATCGGCAGCCAGTGGAGCTGGAACAGCAAGGGCGTTGCATGCTCCCTGCGTCCCGCTCCTGTTAGTAACTGACAGGGATGGCCCAGATACCACTGGCTCAGCTCAAACATATTTGGTAGGCAGAAAACCAGAGGGAAAGAGCCCACTTTAAGAGCATGAATTATAACTAGTGGATCCATAGTACGGTATGAGTTACTCCTACACTGGGAATGTTTCTTGAATCTTCTGACTGACTTGAATTAAAAAACATCACTGAGCATTCCTAAAAAGATTGGAAAAGAGCTTTCTGAGTAATCAATATGCATTTTAAAGAAACCAGTAGTTTTCAACTTGGATTCCCAAATGTGGTTAAACTGCATCATCCAGAAGCCACTGGCCATGCTTGCTAAGACTTCTAGATGTTGAGATCTATCAATACCTGTGAACCAGAGTTTGGGATTCATGGATTTAAAAAGAAAAATGTTCAATCATTGCTTCCTTTCGTACCTCTATATTAAGCTACAGGGAGACCTGCTTTGAGAGAAACAACTTCCATAATTCTTGACCAGTGACTGTGCTAGCTGGGTTTTAAATGGTCAAAAACATTTGAAAGAAATGAGGTTTCCTATCCTTGCTCTAGTCCAGTGGTTCCCAACCTTTGGTCCTACAGGTGTAGGATTATTACTTTCAAAGGGCTCAACAACAAATGTGTCATTAAACTATTATATAAGACCTGAGAGCAATCTAAGTTATTGAAGGTAGGTACAGACAGACCAATATAAACAAAGTTGTAATACAGAAGCTCTTTACAAGAAAAATAAACCATCCAGGAAAACAAAATTGAAAAATTATGTGCTTGTAATTATAAAAGACAATATAAAAATACATATTGCTTTTGTATTCCATAGACAACATAAATTATGAAGATACCACTTTGATGGCTAATGGTTGTCTGAGATATCTCTCTGCATTTGATGAAGTAATGAGAACCAATACATTTTAGAACTTATAGAAAATAATAGACAGCTAGCTTCTCATCATGAGATATCTTTGTGTATTTGCAACGGACCTCTTAGTGGAGGGACTCTGGCAATCAAAGAAGTAACTTTTCCCAGCACTGAATTTTGATGCCAATGGAAATGCTCCTCTGTACCAATGCCTTAACTGATCCATGGGATTGGTTCCCTAGAACTAGATTGTTATAGATGAAGGAGCAGCTTGCTCTATTTAAGGTTGCAACAAGAACATTAGCATAGTTATAGAAGTGATCCATCACCAAAAGTACACAAAGCTAAATGGCTGCAAGGCAGTTTAGAACTGTAGCAATTGTATTTCAAGTTCTCAAAGCACTTCACTTATATTCTCAGTTGCCCTTACAAATGAATGATCAAAGATGCTAGGATTATTCCCATAGGACAGATGAGTTGGACAAAGTTGAGGCCTGCTTAGGACCACTACTCAGGATATGGCTCATGTAAGCTATTAGGCTTATTACCATTCAAGTTCCTGCATTATACATACATTTAGTAAATGCAAGCTAATAACTGTTTCAGTAAAGAAAACCAAAGAGGATAGACACATCACTAAACTGCAAATACCATAACTCCCCTTAATGTTGACATGGCAATTACAATGGAATCACAGTGTGTGTAGAGCCAGTTCACCCAATTTCTAGCAAAAGCCAGTCTGGGTGACTTGGGGAACCTCAGAAACAGCTTGGGGGGTACATATGGCTGCAGGGCTGCATTTTGGTCACTACTGCTGTAGGGAAATGTTCCCATTTAACACAAAGACGATTTGTTTTTTCACTTGTACAGAGTTAAAGAAGAGAGGCCATGGGCCAGGTACAAAGGTGCCATAAGCTGCTTACCTATTCAAAACATATTTATTTAATTAAGTTAATGTCCTTTCTTTCCATTTTTGATAAGGGGCTAAAATAAATTCAGCAATAAACTACTGAAATCTTAATTAAAACAGATTAAACAATAAATCTGTAAAAATTGGGACAATTATTTTTATTAAGGACATGCAAAGCAGATTGGTATACCAATCTTGGGTTGAACTAGATCGTGCATGTGCAAAATTCGGCCCTCCAGATGTTTTGGACTTCAACTCCAAAACAAGTTGAAGTTCAAAACACCTGGAGGGTCGAAGCTTGCCCATGCCTAAACTAGACTTTAGAAGACCAAGGATCAAATCCATGCTTAGCCTTGTTAGTAGTGTGCTTGCCTTGTTAGTACCCAGCTGGGTGTTCTTGGATAAACTGGATGATCTTGGAGAAATCTTGCTTTCTCAACTCCAGACAAAGGCAATGACAGTCCTCTTCTGAACAAATCTTGCCATGAAAACCCCATAGTAGTATTACCATAAATTGAAAATAACGTAAGTACACACAGCAGCAACACACAAGAGTTAATTTATATCTGTCCCCCAGTGGATGCCATTTCTTTGGACAAGGCTGAGTTTCAGGACCCAGGCTTTTGCAGCAGTTTGTGGAGAGAGCCTTTCTTCCTAACTTTCATCCAAATGCTACAGATATCAAACAACACCATGCATCTTCTTGGCAGTGAGAACATAAAGTCCTATGTTCCTTTCTGGAGATATTAATTCATTCTTCATTTGGAAATTCATTCAAGGAGAAATAACAGTGAATCACGTTGTTCGTTATATTGAGCGCTACATTAATCAAACCTCTTTTTAAAAATGTTTTTGCATGTATTTCCTTCAGTAAGCATTGTCTGCTAAAAGATCCATCCACCACTTTTATTTTCTTGCTGCTCTTTCAGTATCTTGCAGATGTTTGTATTTTTATCGAGGCCTCCAGATCAGTGATTCCCAATCTGTGGTCCATTGACCACCAGTGGTCCGCAAGAACGAAAATATGGTTTACAGCCTCACCATTACAGCACAGTTGCCTTGAAACCACATGGTAACGAGAGCAACTGGTCTTGCAAAACCTCTTATAGTGTCAAGGCAACGGGGATGTCAGGAGGGGAGAGGCTGACTACCCACAAAAGATTACTACTACCACATTCGCTCTAGATTATTAAATATGGTTTTCTGTGGGTGAGCAGATGGCAACTACTGGATGGCATATGTTCTGTATCAGAAGCTAGAACTGATGTGGTTTATCCAATGCAATTGTCTGAATCAGAACTCCAAATAACCAAACTGAATCTAAAGTTGACCATAAACTGATTCATAACCCTTTTGGTATTAACGTTGGAGAATGGTCACTGGTCAAAGTGGTCCCTGGCCGAAGTGGTCCCTGGCCAAGTAGACCTGGTCAAAAAATATCTGGCAACCACTTCTCTAACTCATCTTCCACTAAGGACTGCAGAGGCAATGGGTGTAAACTAGCCATTGACACCAATTATAGAGGGCGATGAATTTTGAACTTACAGGAAACCAGAGTTTATAGATTTTCCTGGTTCTTCCCAAGGAAAGTAAACGCCTGCAGCCAAACATAGAACACTTAAAATACAAATGCATTTCCAGTGAATCATACATGGCTAATTCATCAGCAAGATTATAACAAAACAAATAAAAATGAAATGAATTTCTATTTTTTTAAGTTGCGTGTTTTAAATGTACCTGGAATTCCATCTTTATTGGTTACACTTTGTTTTTCTGCATATTATTGACTCATATTATTCAATGGACCAATTAGGATAGCTCAAGCAGAAAAAAGAAAAACAAAGCAAACAAAGTGGTAAAATTGGGTTGGATATATGTTTTGTTTTATTAAATTTTATTTGTGCATACGTATATTGTCTTTCTCCCAGTGGTGGATGTGAGGCAATGTACAGCCTTTTAAAAAGCATAATCTTAATTATTCTTTTAAAAGTAAATAGTCACCACATGATGAAATCTTACAACAATTATTCCCTGCTGATTTATAAAATGTTTGGCATATAATGGAAAACGCACAGACACATACATGCACATTAGATATTCTTCACATAATTGTAATTGTTGTTTTTTTGCAGCCTGTTCATTCCATGGGCTTTTCCAGGTTGTTATTCCTCAACAACATGTATATTTGGGGGTTCTCTTGGGTCCTAGGGAGTCTTTTTTTTTTTTGCTGGAAACATGTAGTCTTTTAATCATCTGCCTAAGAAAGTCTTGGCATTTTGGTATTCTAGCTGGCTCCTGCTGGACAATACTTGTGACATCATGAGTATCCCCTGACTTTGCTTAGTGTGGAGTGACGTTAGGTTAAAGGCAATGTCCACTTCATTGTACTCTTCATATTGTTTCCACCTGAGGGAGACTTAAGACAGTCGAAATTGGTCTGGAAATCCTCTACGTTGATATCCTCTTACAAGAGACTCGAAGCTCCACTCAACAGTATCTTTACAGAACGTAAGGGATCTCATGCCCTTAGGAGAAGTCTGCTTTACACCAGTCACAAAATACTCTACTTTTGTGACTGGTGTAAAATCACTGTATAAATAACAGTTTTTTGTTCCTTGTATATCACTCAATGCTGTTGGATACACATTTAATATTGTATTATATAAGCTGCAAAAAAAATACCTCTGTGATTTATGTACTACGGCTTGTAGTGGGTTTGTGTTGTTTGCGATTTTGGGAATCCATTGTTTTCTATGTACCAAAGGTTGCCGTGTGTCATTAAGATTGCAAGTGCTGGATTCGGGGTGTGCATCAGTTGTTTTACTGGTGTAGAAAAAACTCTGATCAAAATATGAACATGTTACATTTTAGGACTACAGCACTCAGACTCCCTCAGCCAACATATTCATGAGCCATGCTGAGTGAGGCGATTCTAGGGTTTTTCATGCACAGTGTAACTGTTCTGTATTCTGTATTAGAAAATCCAAAACATTAAGAATGGTTCTTTGGACCTTATGCATATGAGATGGAGCAATAGTCTCTGTTGGGTTGTTCTTCCATGATGCTTCCATCCTTGTATTAATCATACCCCTTTTTTCATTCCTTACAGGGGCGAAAAGGGAAAGGCTCTATTTTTGTCTGGGCTTCTGGGAATGGTGGCCGACAAGGAGATAACTGTGACTGTGATGGCTATACAGATAGCATCTACACCATCTCCATCAGCAGTGCTTCGCAGCAAGGCCTTTCTCCATGGTACGCAGAGAAGTGTTCTTCAACACTGGCCACAGCATACAGCAGTGGGGATTATACTGACCAGAAAATTGTAAGTTGTTTTGATCTCATTTAACAATTCTTGAAGGGGGAAATTGACTAACCAGTGCTAATGTTTTAATGTGCCTACTTCTTTTCAAAGTTTTGAGAACTATAACCCCAGAAATGCCATGATCAGTGGTCATATTGGTTGGGAAATTCTGGGAATTGTATCCTCAAATGTAATTTTTCCAGTCTCTGATTCATTAACTATGGAACCTTAGACACAGACTATATTTCTTCTGAAAAATCCTATTCTATTATTCACCCACTTCCATTTCATTTGATCAAAATAAACGTTCCCTACTTTTACCCCCATGCTCCCCCCCCCCCCGGGAATTAAAAATGATACTGTAGCGCAGCCTTCTCCATGGTTTCAGTGTCCACAGTTTCATTTGTCCACACTCCAAAAATAGTTTTCCCTCACAGAAGTGTTTGTGGGCCTCTCTAGGTCTCCCAGTGCAATTCTATGGGATGCCTCCACCCCATGTATAGTCAAAATAAAGGATTTGCCATTGTCCATGGTTTCATGTATTTGGAGATAGGTGCTGATCTTTGGTCCCATACCCTGTGGATATGGGACCATACTCTGTGTTTGAAAGGACACTCTCTGAAATTTGATGTCATGGTATCACTCCAGCGGGAAGGTAACGGCGCTCCATGCTGGCCACATGACCTTGGAGGTGTCTACGGACAACGCTGGCTCTTCGGCTTAGAAATGGAGATGAGCACCACACCCCAGAGTCGGACACAACTGGACTTAATGTCAGGAGAAAACCTTTACCTTTACCTTTTACCACCCTGAAAAACTGGATCACCTCTGGTATGGTGGTGGAACATAATTTATTGGCTTTTAGTGTTGAGGAAGAAAACTGGCATGTTTTCTGGAGCTTTTCTAATCAAAGATCAACTTGTAGGCATCATGTGGATTCATTTAAGCTTGCCATGATAGCATTTTCCTCTACAATTATGTGCTTAAACAAAATACAGGAGCTATAATAACCCAATTAGAAATGGTTACAGAAGCATAACAATGATGCTCTACTGTTTTATTATAATTCCCCTTACATTATTCATGTACTCTCTGATGCCTGATTCACACAAACAAAACCATGACCTGGTGACCAGATTAAATATGGTGTGGGACAGCAATTACTAGAATGGGCTTGGATTCAATACAAATCAATGCATCAAGGTTCTAGTCTCCACTGAAAACCCATAGGATGACTTGGACCTGTGAATCACTCATTATGGGAATGATGATAAAATGAATCAACAGTGGTAATGCTACTGTATGTCATAAGCTGTTTCTGATTTGAAATAATTCATTGTGGGTTTCTCAGAAATGTTCAACGTGTTATTACAGTATCTTTCTTTAGCAGTATGCAATCCAGGCAATAACAGCAAGATCCTATTCAAAATAAAAGCCATATTTTAAAAATAAATTAGACTGCTTTTTCATAAAGCTTGGCAATATTAAAGAGTAATTAATCGCCCCCTTTCTGCTCTGGAAAATTGGAGAGAGAGCTCTTTAGTATACTAAGTAAATACTGTGATTTCCAGATGGAAGTATTGTCAGACAATAATCTCTCAGGAAAAAAAAACCCAAGCTAAGAAATGCCCTCCACAAAGATTGCACTATCTTTGGAAACCTGTCATTAGCTCTCAGGGTTAAAGAAAAGCAGTGTTACAAATCTGAGGGCAGGATTTCCTATTACAGCTCTTATTCACACTCTGCAACGCTCCCTCCCTTTTGCTCTGACCTACATGCTTCCCAGCTGAGTGAATAATGATAGGTGAAGTATTGTTTGTTGCTTTATTTTGTGTCAAGTACGCTTGCGAATGCTCAAGTGGTAGCATTCTGGAGTGATTCACCTTGGCTATATTTTGGTGAATTGCTATTGCTATCATTCACCCAGGAAGAAGGGAGACACCAGTGTGGGAAAGCAGCAAAATGATAAATCTCCAGATCCCCAGTTTAGAACTATGGTTCCCATAATCCCAAGTCAGCATGACCACTGGGAATACCAGATCCTAGTGACCTCTCCTTTCTGAACTCTTGTTAAATCAGCTTGAGGTGTGACAACATGACATTGGCAACCACACCACTCCTGCGGTGCTAACACTGAAATTAATTTTAAAAACAGATGGCGGTAAAATTAACAAGTGTAATTGATGAGAAAGACCACTCTTTGCAGTAAATCTCCTTTGTGGATGAGTTATCAAGCCTTTCATCAATGTTAAAATGCATATGATGTCTAGGGGCCCTTCCACACATCTCTATATCCCAGAATACCAAGGCAGAAAATCCCACAATCTCTGCTTTGAACTGGGTTATCTGAGTCCACACTCAGATAATGTGGGATTTTCTGCCTTGATATTCTGGGATATAGGGCTGTGTGGAAGGGCCCTAGGAGTTCAAGATCTCCGGGCCATCATCTTCTTCTTCAGACCTTGTAGGAAGGGGGAGTGAACTCAGGGTCATACCACATTCTTGAGTTTTATTTGTTCATTTGTTAGATTAAGTGTTTTTTTTTAAATGAGAATGGCATACTCTGTACCTCTGTGGTTAAAGTTTAATTTATCATGTTTAATGTAGTGGCATCACTGGGGTTGGTGTCATCCACTGCGGTAACTCATAGTGTCACCCCCATGAATCTCTTCTCAAACCTGCCCATAAAAAATCCTCAGAAATGTTTTCTTGTGCTAGAAAAATCTGGTGGCTTGGGTTGAAGGAAAGAAGGTACCACACTAAAAGAACTGAGGTGGTTATTAAGAATTTAAAGAACAGGTATTGGGAGTGGAGGAGGAAACCTTCACGATTTGACGGTCACCAAAAACCTGCATGTGGGAAAGAAATAAGAAGGGAAGTTTGCCTGACTGGACATGATGCCAAGGTTATTTTTATATTTCAAAAATACATTTCTTCTGAAACATTGCACAGAAGTTGTAGAAGGCTTTCATGGCCAGAATCACTGGGTTGCTGTGAGTTTTTTGGGCTTTATGACCATGTTCCAGAAGCATTCTTTCCTGATTTTCACCCACATCTATGGCAGGCATCCTCAAAGGCGGTGAGGTCTGTTGGAAACTAGGCAAATGGGGTTTGTATATCTGTGGAATGTCCAGGGTGGGAGAAAGAACTCTTGTGTTTGTTTGTTTTTTTAAAAAAGGTGTGAATGTTGCAATTGGCCACCTTGCTTAGCATTGAATAGGCTGATAGCTTTAAAATTTCTAGAAGTCCTAGTCATCTGCAAACCCAATCAACAACTAAGCCACACAGTTTACAGAAAACCTACACACAGAGATACCTACATAAAAACTCCAACCATTACCCAACTAAAAAAAGAAGCACAATAAAAGCCCTGGCAGACTGTGCAAAAAGAATCTGCGAACCCCATCTCCTCCAAGGTGAACTGAACCACTAAAACTGGGCTCTATAGGCCAGGGGAATTCCAGCCAAGAATCAATCAATGCCAGCTAACACATCTCAAAAAAGGATTCTCCCAAGCAGGAAGCAACCAGGCTTTGAAGCTGCAATGTTATTAAATGCTAATCAAGGTGGCCAATTGCAACATTTATACCTGCCTTAAGCAGGCAAGAGTTCTTTCTCTCACCCTGGACATTCCACATATATATAAACCTCCCTTGCCTAGTTCCCAACAGACCTCAAAACCTCTGAGGATGTCTGCCATTGTTGTGGGTGAAACGTCAGGACAGAATGCTTCTGGAACATGGCCATACAGCCTGGAAAACTCACAGTTACCTACTGCACAGAAATTCTATGGACAACAATTTTGGTGTCACCCCCTTTGATGGTATCACTCAATGCAGTATGCACCCCTGCACCCCTTAGTGCTGAAGGACCACAACAGAAGGGCCCATTAACATCACTGGGTGTCATACCTACATTTCAGGTTTTAGCCCTGGAATCTGGAATAGTTCTGAACTGGTGACTAAGATATGGGAGACACTGCCATGCCCTGATTCCTCGCAATTATAATTGCACATTAAGTTCTTCATCAAAGTAGATTATTTCGTTTTCTTACAATCCACCTCTTTCATTTTCCAAATTATAGTTCTGTGTTCCTGTTGAGGGCAAGGAGCATTCACTCTTAACCTCTACATATTTTTTTAAAGCCAGAAATCATTTTCAAATGCCTTGGCCCAACCCAATGTTATGTTTTAAGATTCATATCTTACTACAAAACACTTATTTTTATACTCTTGGGGTCTCAGACTCAGACAAGCTGTTTGATGTGGGAGTATTTTCCTTCAATATGAGTCACTGGGATACAAAAATATAGGTTCACAAGAAAGAGTTTTCAATTCTCAACGATAAAATGTTAACAGAAAGAAGGGGAAAACTCTAAGGTTTAACCCATTACAAAATAAAGGCTGTTGTTTATGCTTTCCAATGGTAAACTTTGGCAGACTGCCTAACAGCTGCATGGTGTTTATTGCCTTCAGATAAGCGCTGACCTTCATAATGAATGCACCTTCACTCACACTGGGACCTCAGCTTCTGCACCTTTAGCTGCCGGGATTTTTGCCCTTGCTCTTGAAGCCAAGTAAGTCTGCATAAATAAATACCACTCATTAGAAATTCTTGGGGATTGTGTTGTCCTCAGTGAAGTAGGAATTGACCCAATGCCTAGCTCCTGAGCTAACATCTAAATCCAAATGTAGTTATTATTTGAACTGCATCCTTTCCCAAATTTTGTAATGCAAGGCATTCTTTGCCCAAAACGTGAACAAGAATGTGAATAAAATGCATATAAGGAACGGATAAAAGAAGATACAGTCTTCAATGCAGTGTAAAGAAATATGAGGGATATCTGGAAAGTGAGGTTACAAGATTTTTTTAAAAAAAATACAAAGAATGGATATATCTTTATAAAACTTGCATGGATTATAGCATAGGTACAGTATAGCATTAGTTTTGCACATAATCGCCATTCAGTTCAATACATTTGATCATCCGTGCAACAAGTTCTTTGATGCCTGTGTCATAGAAGTCTCAAGCTGCCTTTTTCAGCCAGTTCATCACTTCGATTTTCACCTCCTCCTCATAGGAAAAGTGTTTTCCACCCAAGTGTTCTTTAATTTGTTGAACAGATTATAGTCACTGGGTGCAAGATCGGGGCTGTGAGAGGGTTGGCTTAAAACATCCCAACCAAATGAAATTAATAACTCTTGTGTTGCATGAGAGGTGTGTGGATGTGCATTGTCATGAAGGAGACAGACTCCCACCGTCAGCATCCCACAACGTTTGTTTTGGATGTCTCTGCAAAGTTTCTTTGTGGTCTCACAATATCTTGCAGCATTGATTGTTTCACCTCTTTCCAAAAATGAACAAGCAGAACCCCTTTTTTGTCCTATAACACTGACGCCACAATTTTTCTTGTGATAAATTGCAGCGGTGTTCATGGCCATAGCATTTAGGTAGCATATTACAGTGCAAATTTTGCAGTTGGTGGGAAATGGCATAAGGACGCCTATTTCTAACCTTCACCACAAGGCCAGTTGATGAACTACTGATGACTGTCACTGCTTGTTCGCTTCTGCTGGCTTCCCGCTACACAACAGTGATACCAGCTTCCCTTGCGAAAATTCTCTTCGAGAGCTACGTGCCTTGTAACCTCACCTTCCAGACAACCCTCATAGAATGCAAAAAAGTAATGAAATAAAGAGATAAAGTAGATTTAGAGAGGAAAAGAGATAGCAAAAATACACCTAGAAATGCTTATTTTATGAAAAATGTATAGGTATATGTGTATTTTGTGTGAAAATGTATTCAAAGGGGACTAAAAGCAGGGGAAAGGAATATATTTTTCAGTTCATGTCAGTTTCATATGTACATATGTCTGTTACATTTTATACTAGCATCAATCTGAGATTTCAAAAATATATACAATCTATATAGAGACATTTAATATAGAAATATATAGCTAAACATATATTTAAGAATAACTTTTCTGCAGATTTTTAAAATGTAGATTATAAATGAAACATGATGCATTGTTGATATGGAAGATATAGAATGTGTAATATTGAAATGGAACTGAACTCGACTGGTCTTCCCATGAACCCTTTTACTACTCTATTCTTTCTCTTCTGTCATCTTTGTTATACAAATGAGAACATCACCCAACCCAGAACTTCAGATATCTGTCTGTATTTAAGCATACATACCATCATACATGTTTAAACAGATTCCTGAACTGTTTAAACAGTTCCCCAAACTGTACAGTCCAAAAACAATAAATGCAATATTTATTTGGCAGTTAAGTACCTTGCAAGTTTCTGGTTGTTGATCATCTCCAGTAGCTGGGTAAATCTATTAAGATGGTGGTGGTGTGTGTGGTTGGAAAAAGCGGTCTTCCAACTAGATTGTTTTCCTCTTTCCGACCAGAAAAAATGCTAAGAAAACAAGTGAAGAGTGGAATAGGAATATTATTAATTAAATCTACTGCAGCAACAACACAATCATAAATCAAGATGACTAATAAACTCTCATAATAAATGAATATAGATAGCCTTTCCCATTATATCAGCCATGGAACTGAGTTTCTTTATATATCCTAGATAACATTTGATGATGGCAATCTTTCTTGCATAAAATATGGCTGGGGTTCCAGTAATTTCTGGAACCATAGGGAGTACAGTTGGAACCCGTTGTGCTGTGGGAATACAGCCATATTTTGTTGGGTGATATTTTGCCGAGATCACCTAAATTTCTGTGAGGAGCCTCACCCATTGGAAATAATGTGTTTTAGTGTGTAGAAACTTTTTCATCCCAATGACTGTGGCTAAAGACCACTGAGATATTTAGAAATTGACTAGAATTTTGTTTGTGATAGTCCTAATCTAACCTGGAGGGATATGCAGCATTTGGTAGTCTGGACATCTGAATTCGATCCATTGGCCAACAATCCAGGATGGAAGAAGAATGGGGCTGGGCTGATGGTGAACAGCAGATTTGGATTTGGATTACTCAATGCTAAAGCATTGGTAGATTTGGCAGATCCTAAAAGCTGGAAAGGCATCCCAGAAAAGAAAGAGTGCATTGTGAGGGACAGCAGCTTTGAGCCAAGGTAAGAGTCTCATTGATAGTTTCTGAGTGAAGCCTACTGGTATTATTTATATCTCCAGTTCATTAAGCACATTTTAAAAAATGCCCAAAATGAATTGCTTTCATCCAGCGATTCTCTCACATGAAATGAGCAAGAAAGGGAAGTTGGGGACCATGTATGCAAATGGACCCACATTCAGTCCATTGATAAGTAGCAGGTAATGTCCAGAACCATGGAGGCCTGCTGCCAATGCTATATCCTACAAGGATACACAGGAATTAATACTTCCTCTGAGCCTTTGGGATCTCCATGCTTTTCACAGAGTTTTCTTTGTGTGTGATTGTACATTTTCCCACTGCAGGGACAAAAACACACATATGGGTAAAACTGTACTATTGATGGCATTCCAAACCATGGCAGGTCTGAAAATAGTGCACTGTTAAGTGAGGTTTCCATACCTCTCAAAGGTGTAGGGAGCGAGCAAAGGTCTGCTTGCTTCCTGCATCATAGTGGCCTCAAACTTCCATTGGCATTTCTTCTCTGTCTGGAGAGGAGAGGCTCCACTATTTGTACAGTTTAGATGTGAAGAATATTTATTAAAAATCTTGTCTGTGTCTATAATTTGCTTCCAGTGTGAGAAGGCAGCAAGGAATACAGTCATCCCTCCACTTTTGTGGATGTGATTAAATTGTTTTTTATATCAATCTCTAGGTCCTCCAGTGTGATTTTTGGAGAAATTGACTACAGAGTCAAAAGGAGAACCTAGAAATTTCTAGAAAATAGTTTTCTTGTAGTTTTTCCACTTTTGTAGGAGTATTGTACCCCTAACCTCAGTGAAAGTAGAGGAATGACTGTACTTTCTCTTTCGATCTCATCACACACACACCTAAATCAGTGTCCTATGATGCTTCCACCATCTGGAGATGGAGCCCCACTCTGGCCATCACACAACATCGTGTGACTTCAGATGGAGGTCCTACCCCCAACCAATGTAGCCAGCATGGATCCTCTGCAGAATGGCGACACTTCCCTCATGTGTTGTTGAGAGGAAGCTGCCTGCAGGGTGACAGATTCTTCGCCTGGCCTTTGTGATCAGACCCTTTATCAAAGGGCCACTTTGATACTACACAATTATAGCACTATAATTCCATTTCAATTGCCGAGGTTACATCCTGCAGCTGGTAGTTTGGCAAGACACTAGAACTCTCTGGCTGAGAATTCAAACTACCTCTCCCTAAATTGCTAATTCCAGCATTTGTTAAGATGTCATGGCAGTTGATATGGATTCATAGTGTTCTAACGATGTATTGTGAAAGAGCCCAAGACTTCCATAATTGGCCCAAATATGTTTCTGCATGACCTACTGCCCTTTCTCTTTTTGATGCAAAGTACCAACATGCATGGAAAGATTGTCTGGCATTGATGAAAAAAATGCCCAAAAACCCCTCTTCAGTGCTCACTCATTTTTTATGACTCCATGCAACAGCTGTTGTAGTTAATAGCAGAATTGTTAAATAAAAGCAGCAGAGCTATTTGAGATAATTGGGGGAAATAATAATTCAATTTCCCATAATGTTGCCAGGTTGCTAAAAGCTAGTGGTGAAGTTGCCATTGAAATTCCCACAACAGCTTGCGAAGGTCAAGAAAATGCCATTAAATCTCTGGAACATGTACAGTTTGAAGCCACAATTGAATATTCCCGTAGAGGTGATCTTCATGTGACCCTAACTTCTCCATCAGGTATCAGACATCATCTATCCATTGCTCTATTCCTATAGTAACTGTACCCCTTTGGTCATCACCATCAGTTTTGTTTCTTTCTTTGCTTTTAGTGTTTTACTCATATTTAACATTCTGATCAATAGCAGAATCTTGGCTTACATGGAAAACCTGTCTGTCCCTCAACTCTCTCTATCAAGGCTGGCCCATCTCTCTGCTTTGTATATATGCCTGTTAAGGTCTGGAGGTACTAAATCGTCAAATTCTCCTGAACACACTTCGTACTAAAAGTGTTAATGAAGATAGAAGTGAAATACATGTTCTGCTCTTCATTTCTCCAAACATCCACAAAAAGTCTATTTGGATATATGTACTCTTTACTATGCTATGGATTCTCAGGGTTACAAGGTTCTAGTCAATATGAATCTAATGTGTCGTCAAAGGCTTTAATGGCCAGAATCACTGAGTTTTCTGGGCTGTATGGCCGTGTTCCAAAAGCATTCTCTCCTGGCTACTTCTATTGCAGGCATCCTCAGAGGTTGTGAGGTCTGTTGGAAACTATGCAAGTGGGGTTTATATATCTGTGGAATGTCCCAAATGAGAGAGAGAACTTTTGTCTGCTTGAGGCAAGCGTGAATGTTGCAATTGACCACTTTGATTACTATTTAATGCCCTTGCAGCTTCAAAGCCTGGCTGCTTGCTGCTTGGGGGAAATCCTTTGTTTGGAGGTGTTAGCTGACCCTGATTATTTCTTGTCTGGATTCCCCCTGCTTTGTGAACCTTAGCTTATCGAGCAAAGTTATCATCAGGCATTTTGTTCATATCCCAACTATTCCCAGTTCAGGACTCTAGGTGGCTAACAATAATTAAAATGAACATAATTGAAAAGTCACAGCATGCAAAATTTAAAATATTAACTTATATAAAAATGTAAAGCTATTAAAAACATAGACCATTAAAAAAAACAAATAGAAAATCTATGATATTCGGCAAGTCCATATTCTCTCTTAACTAATCTATCCTCCAAGGCTTGCCAAAAAAGAAAGTCTTTATCTACCTATGGAATGATAATAAGAAAGGTGCTAAAGCTTTCTGGGAATGAAGCTCCAAAGCCTGGGAGCAGCCATTGTGAAGGCCCTTCCCAGTGTTCCCACCAGATGTACCTGTGAGGGTGGTAAGACAGAGAAAAGGGCTTTTATCCTCAGTTATCATTTGTCATCAATTTCTTCATCTGCAACAACAGATATATTTCTGAGAGCTAAGCAACATATTTGTTCCACATGTAAGCTATACTAAGACAGACATTCATTCCATTTTTCTAATGCAGGCACCAACACAGTCCTACTGGCTGAAAGGCAAAGGGACAAGTCACCTAATGGTTTTAAAGACTGGGATTTTATGTCAGTTCACACCTGGGGAGAGGATCCGACAGGAACATGGACTTTAAAAATTGTTGATTTGGTGAGTAAGGAAAATGTCAGAAGCAGTGATATAGATAAAAGTAATAATAAAGTGGAGACATAGGTCAAGCCTAGACTGGCCACTAAAGCCAGCACCAGTCCAAAGGTGGCCAACTGCATATGGTTAATGTATTGTCGAAGGCTTTTATGGCCAGAATCACTGGGTTGTTGTAGGTTTTTCGAGCTATATGGCCATGTTCTGGAAGCATTATCTCCTGACGTTTCACCTGCCTCTATGGCAGGCATCCTCAGAGGTTGTGAGGATGCTTGCCATAGATGCAGGTAAAACTTCAGGAGAGAATGCTTCTAGAACATGGCCATATAGCCCGAAAAACCTACAACAACGTGCATGTGATTAAGCTTGCTTCAGCACCATATTGGTGTCCAGATATTCTCTTCTTCTTGCTGGTCACATGGGCATCCAATTCTCACATCAAGAGAGGTGTCCACAACAGCCAAGAGTTTAAATGGAGCTATGTGACTGGCTGGGAGCAGCTGCAGCAATACAGGACAAGTCATCACCCATGCAAGCAAAAGTTGATGGCACAGATCAGACGAATCTCACCAGAGAGGGGTAAATTCAGTGGCATGCTCAACTTTGCCTTCCCTTTAAGCATAAAGCCCGCTGGCTCCCATTACATGATGCACAGCTACTTCCGGCGGAGATCCATGCTTAAAGGGAGGGCGAAGTGGAGCATGCAACCGTGGTGGCAACACAGGAGACTTCATGTATTCTGCCAGGAACAAAGGAAAGGCTGGGCGGTCGATGGTGAATTGGGTGATGCAGGGCATGGGGCAATGGGTTCCCTCTGACATACACTGCCAGAATCGCCACAATGTGTAGTGATTCCAGCAGCCTTTGTGATGAGGTTGTGAATCAGACCTGAACCTGTTGTTCAGAGTGTCATGTTTCCAGAAAGCTCTAGTATCCCCTGACTTTGTCCAAAGGTGGGCCAAGTTGGAGCAAAGCAAGAAAACTCGTGATACTCAGCAGAAACTTCCAAATGTCATGTGGGCTGCCAGCAGTGGATTTGAGATGACCCCACTTGTTTTTAGCTGTTAAGATTCACTTATAGTTTCTACTTCTCCCAATTAGAACTAAATACATTTAAGAAAGTGAAGTTTTACAAGCATCCAACACTTAAAAAAACAACAACACCAATTCATGAAACCTACTATTTTCCTTGTGTAAAAAAAAAAGAAGAAGAAGTTCAAGCTGCTAGAAATAGAAATGGTACCCATCTGCATTTGGCTTCACTGCAGGCCTTCCTACACAACCCAGCATACTAAGGCAGAAAATCCCACAATATTTGCTTTGAACTTGCTTATCTGATTCTACACTGCCATATATTCCAGTTCAAAGCAGATAATTTGGGATTTTATCCAGCTGTGTGGAAGTGGCCTGTGTTAAATATAATATTTTCTAATATCACAGTGTTTATATTTCATGCTGTTTTTCCATAGCTTTAGGACATTTATAGTTGGGATGTCCTCTGATGTTTTAGTTTTTGGGGATTTTTGTTTGTTTGAAAGACAGGATTTTGTTGCAGAGTATAGTTTTTCCCATGATAGGGTAACTTAGGTCCCTTCTAAACTGCCATATAATCCAGATTATTAAAGCAGATAATACACATTATTTGATTTGATAAAGATTATAAGAATCTACACTGCCATATAATCCATTTCAAAGGAGATCATCTGGATTTTATATGACAGTGTAGAAGAGAACTGCAGGTCACCCTAAATTGTAAATGACTTGAAGGCATCCAACAACAATAGTTTTTCTTCTCAAGACATAAGCTATATTTTGATCTAGTTCTAGGGATATCATTTCTTTCACTATATTGCTCAAAGTTATTACACATATTGCATACAAATGTAAAAACCTGTAAAGCAAATGCTGGAACTAAGCATAAGCCAATATTGCATCAGCGAAGAATCGTCCAGCGGAGCTTTTCCGAGTTGTCAGGGGCCTGTTAAATCCGCCAAAAAGCGAGGCCTCGGACAACTCGGTGGCTCGCTGTGAAGCATTTGCTCGATCCTTCGCGGATAAAATTGAGCGGATTCGGTCGGGTTTTGACGTCATGTTAACGGCAGTCTCTGGGGATGTAACGAGAGCATCTGCTTGTCCAGTTTTGTTGGATTCTTTTCAATTGGTTCAGCTTGAGGATGTGGACAGGATCCTTGGAGAGGTGCGACCGACCACATGCATCCTAGACCCCTGCCCATCCTGGCTGATCAAGGAAGCCAGAGGGGGTTTGGCAGAGTGGGTGAAGGTGATGGTTAATGCCTCCTTACAGGAAGGAAAATTTCCAGCGAGCTTAAAACAAGCTATTATAAAACCGCTGTTGAAGAAACCATCACTGGATCCCACTCAATTTGACAACTATCGGCCAGTTTCCAATCTCCCCTACTTGGGCAAAGTCATGGAACGTGTGGTGGCAGCACAACTCCAGGGGTTTCTGGTAGACACTGATTATCTAGATCCGGCACAGTCTGGCTTTAGGCCGGGACATGGAACTGAGACAGCCTTGGTCGCCTTGGTAGATGATCTTCGCAGGGAACTAGACAGGGGGAGTGTGTCCCTGTTAGTTCTGCTGGACCTCTCAGCGGCTTTCGATACCGTCGATCACGGTATCCTTCTGGGCCGCCTCATGGATATGGGGCTCGGAGGCACTGCTCTGTGGTGGCTTCGATCCTTCCTTGAGGGACGGACCCAGAAGGTGTTACTGGGTGACACCTGTTCGGCCCCACAACCGTTGTTGTGTGGAGTCCCACAGGGTTCTATCTTGTCCCCAATGTTATTTAACATCTACATGAAGCCGCTGGGAGAGATCATTCGGAGTTTCGGACTAAGATGCTATCTGTATGCAGATGATGTCCAAATCTGTCACTCCTTTCCATCTGTCACCAAGGAGGCTGTCCAGCCCTTGAACCGGTGCTTGGCTGCTGTATCGGACTGGATGAGAGCTAACAAATTGAAATTGAATCCAGACAAGACAGAGGTCCTACTGGTCAGTCGTAAGGCCGAACAGGGTATAGGGTTACAGCCTGTGTTAGACGGGGTTACACTCCCCCTGAAGACACAGGTTCGCAGCTTGGGAGTGATCCTGGACTCATCGCTGAGCCTGGAACCCCAGGTCTCAGCGGTGGCCGGGAGAGCTTTCGCACAATTAAAACTTGTGCGCCAGCTGCGCCCGTACCTTGGGAAGTCTGATCTGGCCACGGTGGTCCACGCTCTTGTCACATCCCGGTTGGATTACTGCAACGCACTCTACGTGGGGTTGCCTTTGAAGACTGCTCGGAAACTTCAACTAGTCCAGCGAGAAGCAGCCAGATTGCTCACCGGAGCGTCATACAGGGAGCATACCACCCCCCCTGTTGTGTCAGCTCCACTGGCTGCCGATCCAATTCCGAGCACAATTCAAAGTGCTGGTTTTGACCTACAAAACCCTATACGGTTCCGGCCCAGTGTATCTGTCCGAACGGATCTCCCTCTACATCCCACCTCGAAGTTTAAGATCTTCTGGGGAGGCCCTGCTCTCGACCCCGCCAGTGGCACAAGTGAAACTGGCGGGGACGAGGAGCAGGGCCTTCTCAGTGGTGGCCCCCCACCTGTGGAACTCACTCCCCGGGGAGATCAGATCGACGACTTCCCTTCTAGCGTTTAGGAAAAAACTAAAGACCTGGATGTGGGACCAAGCTTTTGGCCATGCTGACAACTGATTAAAGGACCTATAGATAGACAAGGACAATGGAATGGAATGGATACATGGACTCTGATATATGGACTCTGACATGAGATAGTTTTTATGATTTTAATAGGTATTGATGTTTCATTTTAATTGTTGAACTGTTATATTTTGTATTGTTTGTTGTGTGATTTGGGCATCTAATTGTGCCTCCTTTGTAAGCCGCCCTGAGTCCCCCCCCCGGGGTGAGAAGGGCGGGGTATAAGTAGATGAAATAAATAAATAATAAATAAATAAGAGAATGAATTCAGTTATAAGGGATTAATTCATGGCCATTCTCCCCCTTTGTAAAGTGACTAGGGAAAATTCTTCCTTTTCCCTTGTAAGGAATGAACGTAAGATTAAAACATATAACTATAAATTAATGAAGGGGCCATTATGTCTACAAGTGGAACCGGCTTATTACACAAAGCTTCAAAAATGGTTTTTATAAATTACAGCTCATAGAATTCCACAGATAGGGGATTCTGATAATTGTAGTCCAAAATAGCTTTTCCAAACCTTGATCGTAGCAGTGAACATTGATGAATCTCCATATAATGGATCTCTCAGGGAGTATTTTGAACGAGGTTCTCATGATTCTACAGAAGACTAATGCTGATGTTGTTGTCTCTCAGTCCAGAAGAATGCAAAATGAAGGACGAATTGTGAACTGGAAATTGATTTTGCATGGCACGTCCACCCGGCCTGAGCACATGAAGAAACCCCGAATTTATACATCATACAACACTGTCCAAAATGATAGGAGAGGAGTGGAAAAGATGACGGACTTTGTAGAGGTATCACTTTTATTCACATGCATATACAGTTCTTCCTTAAGTATGTGGAGAATCAAAGGAGATTGTTTTGCTTTATAGCTTACCTGACTTTTCTTATTCTCGGGCATCAAAATGATGTAGGCCAAACCTGGCTCCTAGTGATCTCTTTCAAATGAGATCCAGCACTCTTGTGTATTTTTTTTTCATGTATGTATTGTTGAAGGCTTTCATAGCCGGAAACACTGTGTTCGGGCTGTTCCAGAAGCATTCTCTCCTGATGTTTCACCTGCATCTATGGCAGGCATCCTCAGAGGTTGTGAGGTTAGTTGGAAACTAGAAAAATGGGGCTTATATATCCGTAGAATGTCCAGGGTGGGAGAAAGAACTCTTGTCTGTTGGAGGTATGTGTGAATGTTTCAACTGCCCCCCTAGCAGTTTTCAAGGTGTGGCTTCTTACTGCCTGGGGGAATCCTTTGTTGAGAGGTGATTAGCTGTCCCTGATTGTTTCTTGTCTGGAGTTCCCCTGTTTTTTTAATGTTGTTCTTTATTTACAGTTATGATTTTAATACTGGGTAGCCAGATTTTGTTCATTGTCATGGTTTCTTCCTTTCTGTTGAAATTGTCAACATGCTTGTGGATTTCGGTGGCTTCTCTGTGTATCCTGGCATGGTAGTTGTTGGAGTGGTTCAGCATTTCTGTGTTCTCAAATAATATGCTGTGTCCAGGTTGGTTCATCAGGTGCTCTGCTATGGCTGACTTCTCTGGCTGAAGTAGCCTGCAGTGTCTTTCATGTTCTTGATTCATTTTGGGTGCTGCATTTGGGGGTCCCTATGTACACTTGTCCACAGCTGCATAGTATATTGTAGACTCCTGGAGAGAGGTGAGAAGATCCCTCTTGTCCTTTGCTGAACATAGCATTTGTTGGATTTTCTTAGTGGGTCTGTAGATTGTTTGCTTCTTCATCATGTATATTTTTCATGTATGTTTCATATATGTTTCAGGAACACACTACACAGGAGAACTTGAAGGAAAAAACCAAGGAGGCAGAAATTACCAGCAGCAATGGGAAAACAAAGGAGAACCCCTTTTCAGATGCAGTGCTCCGTCTACTGCAAAACGCATTTCGGAGCCAGATGGCCAGCAATCAGGTCTCAAAGAAGAGACTTAATGGAAACACCAACATTCCCTATGGACATTTCCAACAAGCTCTCGAGAAACTAAACCGAGCCTCCCAGTTGAAAGACTCAGAGGAGTCTCTGTATAGTGACTATGTTGACCTTTTTTACAATTCTAAACCATACAAACATAGAGATGATCGACTACTGCAAGCCTTGGTTGATATTTTGAATGAGGAAGATTAAAAAAGATACAGCAAAAAGCACTAGGTTGGAAATATTCACCTGCTTCATCTCCATAGCACTCCTCATTTCAGATTAAGTCCTGCTTATTCTGGCAATTTGCATGAACTCAGCTTTCATTGCATTGTATTTATGAATGACCTAAAGAATAGAAAAAGCAGGAAGAAATGCAGCTTCTTAGATGTTGAGATAATCACTGATTTATTCAAAGCATTCAGCAATCCTTTCAAGGTAGACAAGCGTTTTTCAAGAATCAAATAAAACCTTGATCTTCAGAAAACATTTGAGATTCAGGACAGGAATATTTTTTTTTTCAATAAACCAGAAAAATATTGTAGCCATGATTTCAGGTGAGACCCATCCCAAACGTAATGCAACAGTGTACACCCCACATTGTCTGATTTAAATAAGGGTGTTTTTTTTTCACTTTTGGAAATTCAAAAGGGAAATCCATACTTTAGCAACATGAAGCATAGGAAGAATATCTAAGGATGGTTTGTTGAAGGCCCAATCCACATCAGGGATACTCTTTCTGTTGAGTTCAGGAGATATTATTTCGGGTCAAAGGACACCAAAGCTAGCAATCATATGCCTTTACAGTGGTTCCCAACCTTTGGTCCTCCAGATCTTTTGAACTTCAACTCCCAGAAATCCCAGCCATTTTACAGGTGTTAGGAATTGTGGGAGCTGAAGTCCAAAACACCTAGAGGACCAAAGGTTGGGAAGCACTGCATCCATTTGCAGAAGAAATACTGAATTATCTTTTTTCCACACAATACTGTTATGTTTTGCTACAGTGTAATCTATGTGTGACTACTCAGAGTAAGTCCCACTGAATTCAACAGGGCTTACTCCAAGGTGAGAAAAGTTATCAGGTGAAATACAGTACAGGTAGTTCCCTAGTAACAAACATCTGACTTACAAACAGTTCATAGTTAAGAATGAGGGTGAGAGAACAGGAAGTGAGAGAAATCTTCCCATAGGAAGGGAAATTCACTCCGGAAAGAGTTATTATCATGAGGAGAAACTGTCTCCACTGAAGCTTAATCGTCAATCCTTGTTTCCATAATAAGCCATTTTTTTCAAAATCCAATTATCACAGGAACAGAAAATGTGGTGAAATCTTCTGAATGAGTTCACAGACAGCCAAAGAAACACCACAGGGGGTGTTAATAATAAAATAATAATAAAATTATGCTATCCAAAGCTATATATAGATATATTTCTGACTGGAGTTACCTTTAAATAATGCACCTGTTCTGACTTACATCCAAATTCAACTTAAGAACAAACCTACAGAACCTATCTTGTTCATAACTTGGGAACTGCCTGTATAGGGCTTTGTTGTTGTTCTTGTTGTGTGCCTTCAAGTCATTTCCATTTCTCAAATTGTTGATATTCTTTCTTCCAATTTTCATGCCTCCTCTCTTTGAATCTAATCATTTTATGTATATGTTCGGCTTACAAATTAAATAGATAGGATGAAAAAATGCAGCCTTGCCTGACCCATTTGCCAATTGGAAACCATTTCGTTTCTCCATGTTGTCTTCTAAAATTAGCCTCTTGTCCTCAGCAAATGTTACACAACAGGACACTCCATTTCTTTAAGAATGATCCATAGTTTTTAATGATCTACACAGTCAAGGGTTTGCTATAATCTATAAAGTGCAGGTTGGTTTTCTTCTGTATTTTTCATTTTGTTGAGTCCCATTCTCACAATGTGATCCCCAGTGCCTTTGCCTTTTCTGAAACCAACTAGGATATCTGATATTTCTTCTCCAGTCTAAAAAAAAAACTATTTCCTATTGAATGCACTATGTTTTTGCTTCCAGGGAGACAAGCAGGTGCATGTCATGGGTACCAACCTTGAATAATGTGGCTGTGCCAATAACCATGGGATAGTTGGTAGTGCACAATGACTATCATGGCCATTATGGAAAGCACACATACTTTTGCTGTTCCCAAATCCATGCTAATGGTTGCTTCTTTGGGTTTTTCCTGTTTTACTTTCTGTTTTCATATTCCCTTGTTCGGGAAAATGCTCTCATTGTAATACAGTTCGAGCACTGAATTCCATTGTATTCTAGCCACCCAATTTCCTCTAGTAATGACAGAAAGCTTTATGCTAACGAGAATGCACGATTATTACACAGTTGGCCCTCTGGATCCATGGATTTAACTATCCACAGCTTGAAAATACCCCCCCCCCCAAAAAAAAATATTTCAATCCTTGATTTTTGCTATTTTACATAAGTGACAACATTCAAATACTCAATTGTATATAATGAGTGTGATCATCCATGGATTTTGGTATCCATGGGTAATCCTAGAACCAAATCCCAGGGGAAACCAAGTGCCAGCTATATGTTCTGAATCCAAATATGATATCCCTTAGATGTAATAATCTGTTTTCCTTTTGTCCTACTGTTAACACTTCAAAATAGTGGTAGGTTTTGACAATGATTTTACTTGAATGTTCTCCACTTCCAACACCGTTTAGGCCTTAAACTTTAAAGAACTAAGCATTTCAGTGATAAAATTACTTAAACCAGTGGTTCTCAACCTGTGGGTCCCCAGATGTTTTGGCCTTCCACTCCCAGAAATTCTAACTGCTGGTAAACTGGCTGGGATTTCTGGGAGTTGTAGGCCAAAACACTTGGGTACCCACAGGTTGAGAACCACTGGCCTAAACCAATGGAGGAAGTGATGGAACAAAAGCAAATAGCAATGTTTTCCTTCTAAAAGTCTGAAAACCTGGGAGCTATATTATGGACAACATAATGCTTCCAACTCTCACAAATATCTTAGATAATTATACAGACTTCTTTCTTGAGAAAATAGTCGAACGAATAATTATCCATTGCTTTTTATCATCCCACACCTTAATAACTGCTGCATCAATGGCCAGTACCTGATTACTATATTCAGGCTAACTCTTTATAATATGTGGTTTTGCTTATTTGTTTTTTCTTTAAGATCTTAAGATCATTGCTTATAATGCAATTTAATGGACCCACAAAATCTCTAATTAAATTAATCTGATACGACTTGTATTGCTTGAATGTTTCCAACCTAGAGTGCATTGTATATAGACTTAAAATTATTTTTGTTAGTCTTTTTTCTGGTGCCAGTCTATGTTTTGTGAAAATGAAAGATACAAATGTTTTATCTCAAAGAAACTGAACATTATATTTTCTTTACAGGTATTTATAAAATATTAAAGCTTTTATCAGATGCAATTTAAAGAAGAATAAATGATGACAAACTTTAAAAATAATAAATTATAACAAACCTTTTTTTTATTTAAGCCAAACGATCTTTGTCTAGTAAAGTATTTTAATGGCATGTTGTAATGACAACAGCCACGTGTATGTGATGCGATGTGATGTGAAAAGTTATATTTGTTTTATCATAGCAAATACATAATACAGCATAATGTGTTAGCAGAGCCCAGAGTGTGTGGTCTTAACATTTGTAAAGAAACACAACATAGAGTGAGATCTCTTAAAATGGAATAGCTGGAAAATAATATGTAAAATGGTATAAATGTGCACAAAACCATGACAGAGTTAGCTAAACAGAGAGGAGAAAATGTTGTTATAGTATTGTTGTTGTGTGCCTTCAAGTAATTTCTGACTTAAGGTGACCCTAAGACAGTAGTTCCTAATCTGTGTTCCATGGACCACCAGTGGTCTGCAAGAACTAAAATATGGCCTGCGGCCTCACCGTTACTACACAGTTGCAATGAGAGTGACTGGTCTCAGAAAATCTTCTTATAGTGCTGAGGTTTATTAAATCTGGTTTTCTGTGGGCAAGCAGATGGCGACTTCAGAGTGGAATGTGTTTTGTATTAGAACCTAGAGCTGATGTGGTCTATCCAATGCAATTTTCTGAAACAGCAGCCCAAATTACCAAGCAGAATCTATAGTTGATGAAAAACCGATTTGTAACCCTTTTGGTAGTAATGTTGGAGAGTGGTCCCTGGTCAAGTGGTCCTTGGTCAAAAAAAGGTTGGGAACCACTACCCTAAGGCAATACATCATAGGATGTTCTTTGCAACATTAATTGGAGGTCACCATTGGCTTCATCTCAGGCAGAAGAAGTGTAACTTGCTTAAAGTCAATCAGTGGTTTTCCATGACTAGGCAGGGATTTGAACCTAGGTCTTCAAAGTCATAACTCAACACTCAAACCACTACACTCCAATGGCTTTATTGTAATATACCATGTTATAGCATCCAGCAATGGTGACAGTTTCAAGCACAACAATATCAACGCAACATCCTGAGTCAAAATGTAGGTACAATTGACTTCACACATCTTAATTCCATTTCTTTTTCATTTGAGTCACATGCAACAAAAAGGAGTGCATTTCCCTTCTGTCTGCAGTAGCCAAGAGCTGCAATGAACTGTGGGCAACTTCCATGATATGGATCCTTCCCTAACTTTAGCAACAGGCATTATAGCCATTCTCTTTTACAGTGGTTCCCAACCTGTGGTCCCAAAGAACTAAAATATGGTTTGCGGTTTTACCATCTATTATTATTATTATTATTATTAAACTTTATTTGTACCCCGCTAGCATCTCCCGAAGGACTCGATGCGGCTTACAAAGGCCAAGGCCTCAACACAACAACAGCAAACAATAACAATACGATGCAAAACAAATTAAAAACATAAGCAATAACAAAACATTACACTATAAAAATCAGGGGAGAGGCTAACTACCCACAAAAGGTGTGACAACAAGCCTCCTGACTGCTGCTTCTCCTCATCCTCCCTCCCCCTGAGCGGAGCCATTCCACGTGGTGCCTGAAAACGGGGGCACCTTGGTGCCTTTGTTTTTAGGCCTTTTCTTGGGGTTATTTGGGGTGCTGATTCAGAAAATTGCATTGGATAGACCACATCAGTTCTAGATTACTAAATATGGTTTTCTGTGGGTGAGAAGATGGCAACTACTGGATGACATATCTTCTGTATCAGAAACTAGAGCTGATATGGTCTATTCCATGGAATTTTCTGAATCAGTATCCCAAATAACCAAACCAAATCTAAAGTTGACCAAAAACTGATTCGTAACTCTTTTGGTACTAATGTTGGAGAGTGGTCCCTGGTCAAAGTGGTCCCCTGTCAAAAAAAGGTTGGGAACCACTACTCTAGTATGTTGAGACAACACTTATTTTGTAATGTATTGTTTATTTGTTTTTCACTGTCCAGTTTGCATTGGCCTGATCCTCAAAAAGTCTATACCTAATGATATTGTTGCAGAAACTAGCGCTGTCCCATCTCCCCAGCTCTGCTTGTGCTATGTTTAAAACCAGCGGATTAATTTTAGCATGAGCAGTTGTACAGCCAACTTCCTCTACTCTCTTTTACTTTCTCTGATGCATAAAGTAGAGATACATAAGACTTCACATTGTCTGTGGGAGCTGTAAAAGGAACAATGATCCAGGGGAGAATCTCAGCTACAAGCCGTTTTATTTTCCCTTCAGGGTGTAGATGAATTACTAGTGTGATATTGGTAGCCAGCAACAAATGGATTTGCTCTCATTTTACCCTGAAATGTTTTATGTAACAATGCCTGTTATCAGCAGAACATTCTGAATGTTAAACATGCAGTAATGCAGGCCTGGGCAGCATGATAAGGAAGTGCACTTAGAACTGAAGATTTGCAGGGTTATTAAGGATCCCAGAGTTTTACTTCATGGAATAAAGTAATAAAAGCTCAATTAGTAATAAAAGCATTGGCATATGTCATTTCGATTAAATGTAGTGAACCAGGATAGTGCCCTTTCAATTGAAGATCTAAGAAGTCTATAATGCAGGACACAGAAAATAATCTTTCTCAGAAAGAAGGGAACGTTCCATAATCAGTATTTAAACAGCCAAGTTAAAAAGTATAGCAAAGATATATGAGAGATGTAAGATAACTGGTGGAAACATTCACCTATTGCCTTTTTTGTCTTCTAGCAAAATGTTCTCATTGGATCTTGGTTCAAATACAAATACACCATTTGCAACCATTGGCCATAATTAAAACTGTGCACTTCTTCTCTTATTCCAGTCTTCTCATGTGTGAAAACTCCTGGAACTTTCACCAAGAGTCGTAACACTTCTTCAAAAGTTATGGCTACAACAACCTTAAAGAAAATTCCCATCCACTGCAGGATTTAAACCTAGTTAAGGTACACTATGGTTAAAGACAGTGCAATTCTGTCTTCTATCATGGTTAAGATTTAATTATAGTTGAGTATCTTGGAGTAAGAAAGTTTGTTAGTGAGAAAGAAGAGCTAGGCAGTGTCAAACTTGTGCCCACCCCCCCAGGTGTTTTAGACTTCAGCTCCACGAACCCCTGGCCATCAGACAAACTAGCTAGGGCTTCTGGGATTTGGAGGCCCAAACATCTGGAGCCACAACTTTGGTGGAAAAGCTCCACGAATCCCTGACCATCAGACAAACTAGCTAGGGCTTCTGGGATTTGGAAGCCCAAACATCTGGAGCCACAACTTTGGTGGAAAAAAAGGACAAGGTAAGTATTAGCCATGCTTAGCAATCAAAATGCAAAGCTGATGAATGCAAAGCTGGGGTGAAAATTGCTGGAAGAAACATTAACAACCTCAGATATGCAGATGACACCACTCTGATGGCCAAAAGCGAGGAGGAGCTGAGGAGCCTTCTAATCAAGGTGAAAGAAGAAAGCGCAAAAGCCGGGTTGCAGCTAAACATAAAAAAAACCAAGATTATGGCAACAAGAATGATTGACAACTGGAAAATACAGGGAGAAAATGTGGAGGCCGTGACAGACTTTGTATTTCTAGGTGCAAAGATTACTGCAGATGCAGACTGTGGCCAGGAAATCAGAAGACGCTTACTTCTTGGGAGGAGAGCAATGTCCAATCTCGATAAAATAGTAAAGAGCAGAGACATCACACTGGCAACAAAGATCTGCCTAGTCAAAGCCATGGTATTCTCTGTAGTAACCTACGGATGTGAGATCTGGACCATAACGAAGGCTGAACAGAAGAATATAGATGCTTTTGAACTGTGGTGCTGGAGGAAAGTTCTGAGAGTACCTTGGACTGCGAGAAGATCCAACCAGTCCATCCTCCAGGAAATAAAGCCCGACGGCTCACTGGAGGGAAGGATACTAGAGACAAAGTCAAAGTACTTTGGCCACATCATGAGGAGACAGCAAAGCCTAGAGAAGACAATTATGCTGAGGAA